GGTGGAAAAAAGAGAGACAGAATTAAAAGGAATGGGCCCAAAGAATCATGCGAGCAAACATGAAAGGGAGGAATGGTGCGACGAAAGGGGGAATGGAAAGAGAAGAGTAATAACAGACAGGGGACACTGGAAATCAGATGTTTGAGGGGGAGAATATGGGGGATCTGGGTGAATCGTGAGGACCAACCATAAGAGGGGCTTTTGGCACATATTGGGTGTGGACAGTAAGGGCTGGTCCTTCTCTTTGGGTATCTTTCAGTTCCCTTTCCTTTCACTGTTGATTTTCTTTATTCAGGAAGATTGGAAGGGGATAGCTGATAGCTCCTCTCCTCCGTTAGTTCAATATAGCAAACATATTTTTTGTTCTTAACTGCTGAGTTCAGTCCTAACAGCACATAAAAAAATTATGGATTAAACATTCTCCTTACATATGCAGAGAAACATAGAAAAGACAACCTTGAATGGACAATGGGGTGAACACTAAGGGTCATAAAAATTATCCTGTCCAAGAACAGACTTTAGAACTAAGCACTGAGAAGAAAACTTAAAGGTAATAGCATTCCATTCAGGGCCAAATAGAAGAAAGAAGAAGCATAGTCTCAGAGACACAGGATAATAACATCTTTCCCTCCTCGGTTCTACCAAATTCTCTAACATCAATCAGAAGAAATTGTTACAAAATGAAAAGACAAACCTAAGATAAACCAAACCATCAAAGAACCAACTCTAGAAGGAAGTCACAATAGGAACTCAAAGAAGTAAAATGATTCAAAGATCATTCTCAACCTGGAGATTCATTCTAAAATGAAATTGGCTTAACTTAACACTTTAAAAGAATATCCCTATAACATTAAATGGCCAAGCATGAACTAAAAGAATATGACTTGCAACAAAACAACAGTTGGTATAATATAAAAATTAATAAGAAAATGAAAGACAACGATTTCTAGGCCCCCAATTCTTACCTGGTTGCAAATTCTGGAGCTGTATACAGAATATATGCTATTCCTTTGGATCGTTTTGTATCTTTATCAACAACTAGATGAACCTGTGAGACACTACCAATGTGACTGAAATGTTCTTCCAGTTCCTCCTCACTGTAAAAAAAACAATACAATGATTCAAACCAACTAGAAATAAAAACAGTACTAAGTTCAAGTGAAACCATAAAACCCACGGACAGATATTGGTAATGATTCAACTTGCTTAATTAAGACAGTCTTTCTTTGGAAAAGAATGCAATTTGAAACTGTGTCAAAGTAATATCACACATGCATCCAAAATAGAATTCCAGAAAAAAGAGAAGACATATGTGTATAGTACGTGGTCGTGTATGGCAGATTACGGACAAACAACCGACAGGACTCAAAAGCTCCTTTCTCGTCTTCTGTTTTCAATAATTGACCCCCTTCCAGGGTCACATTTACTTGAGACTTTCCATGGGTGACATCTCCACTAGTAGCTTCTTTCCCCTCTAGGTCTACCTCACGAGCACCATTTCTTGGATCACAAATTTCTTCATTTTGACTAACACCACTATTATCATCGTTGTCATCATTGTCATTACCATCCTCGTCATCTTTATCACTACTTTCAGAATCAGACCACTCTTTTGTCACCCTACTCTTGAAATAATCCATATCCGAAATGACTTCATCTGGTTCAGGCTCACGTGACTTACTGCTAGGTTCAGAAATATCTGGAAACCCATCTTCTAATGAGCCACTTTCATCAGTTGAAACTGAAGCAACTTCATTATCCTTATTTGACACTGCTTGGTTGTTGCCAACACTGGTGACAACGGACGTATCATTTGCCCACATCTTAGACTTAACCCGAGGCTGCATGACCTCAAGAAAATCCTGAAGCTGCGGGTCATCAACATCCACACTGCCCTTCAAATTTTCTCCTGGTCCCTTAACTTTAGCAGGTTTCCCCACATCCGGGGCAGCCGCTTTCTCATCTTTCTTCTTCGAATGCCGACTCCATGGACGAGGAAGATTTTCATCCCCAAGTTTTCGAGCCACCTGCATGGTTATCGAGAAGAACGTTGAAAAACACGTTCCATGGCTTCCAGTTTCAACAACACAATTTTTTTTTAAATTTGAATAAAACACATAGCAGTAAAATATATAAATAATAGAAAAAATTAGCATGTATAACAGACCTCACAAGTAATTTTAGATGTGCGAAGGAAAGAATTATTGAAATATCGAATGGCTTCCTGGGCTTCTTTTTCAGTTCGATATCCTATAAACGCAAATTGCCGACTCTTGCCATCTCTGAATTGAAAAGCAAGTCAAAACCAAGTAAAGCAGTTACAAATTCAATTTCCATAGGGATACTACGATTCAAGGAGAGAAAGAGCAAGAGTAGTATAATACTTGGTACGCATGAGCTTAACGTCAGTGATTATTCCTTTCTCAGAAAAGAATTCCCGTAGTTCATCCTCCGCAACATGTTTCGGGAGATTCTTCACGCAAATCCTCGACCTGCACAAACAATCATAATGGCGCGTGCATTGGTTTTCATTCAGTGTGGATTTTAGTTTATTATTTAAGATAGAATATGAATTAGTAGCAAGCGTTCACTTACATGACGCGATTGCACTTTGAAACAGTAATCAAGCAAGGGTTGCAACAATTCAAAATTCAGGGAGGGACTGGTTTATCCTCTTATTAACCCTAAAATGTGCACGCCTCTTTAATCTGGTTTTTTGAATGCGAGAGTGTGGTGTATTGTTGGTGAAAGCTTTTAGGGCTCGGTGGTGTCTGTGACACTATACAATAATGCGGTGTCCAACGCCTCTAATTTTCTTTTTCGTTTTTTCCCCCTTTTTTTTCTGATTGGAACATGCAATAACATCTTAAACTCCTTTTCTTGTTCGTATATAAAATATTATTTTATTCCTCTAAAATATATAAAATTGTTTTTTAAAGATATAATATTTTTTTCCCTCTAAACTATATAAAATTCAGTTTTGATCCTTAAAATTTTATGTATTTTTTATCCTTTAATTTTAAATGCATCAGTCTTTATCCACTAAATGTTATTTAAGTATATTTCTTTTATAAAATGTTATCTTTTCTTATCCATTTATAAATGTTATTCAAATTATCGTTCATTTGTAAAGTGTTATCTTAACTACTTACGAGATTATACATTTCAAAATTAGAGAGACTATAAATACAAAAAAAAAGACTATAATTGAATTTTAATCTTATAAATAAATTCAAAAATGTATTTGACTTTTTATATTTTATTTTTTTTACTTTATAGTGTATAATTAACATTTAAAAATTCAAACCCTATAAACAGCATAAATATATATAAATTTTAAGATGATGCATACTCATAATTTTATCCTCATTATATTTAAAATTATGTTGAAAATCAATATAATTCGTTTTGAAAATATCACTATGAAATTAATTACAATGCTTACAAAAATTATTTTTTATATAGAAAAAAATCATATGGACACCCTCTATTATATATATATATATATATATATATATATATATATATATATATATATATATATATATTAAAACATCTTCTATTATGATTAATGATGTATTTAGTCAAATTAAATTATCTAATATAATAATAATGATATTGATAATATCAAGGATTAAAATAAATGTTTTAATAAAAAATAATAATATGTATACTATGGATATTATTTTGCAACAAGATATTACAGAATGATATATCCTAAAATTTTTAAATGATATTCATAATAAATAACTACTATTCATATGATCAACTAAAAAGAATAAAAAATATATTTAAGCATCAATAATTTATTCAAGTATTATAATTTGATTACGGCTTTATTTTATTGATGTTAGTGTTCTTCGTTTATGGTATAAAACAAAATATAAATAACAAAATAGTTATTACTAAATATAATTAGATTTAATTTTGAATCCATATAAGTTTCAGGATAAATTAATATATTTGACGTCCATAAGTCAATATTACATTCATACATATTTATAAAAAAAATTCAAACATAGAATAATTGAAATATAAAATAAAATAATACAAATTAATATCTCATAATTGATATGAAGCACAATATAAGAATAACTGCTTCAAAATATTTGAAAAAATAATTTTACCACCCTATTATATATATATATATATATATATATATATATATATATATCTTGAAATAAAATGGAAATATTCCTTAATTTAAGAGCGTAAATCTGATATAAAAATAGAAATAAATCAAAAGTATAAATTTTTAGAAAATATTATAATTGGGAATTGAAATTAAAATATATAATGATTATTTTTACAACTTTTTTATTCTAAAATGTATTTTTTTTAAAACTCGTTCTTAAATAAACAACAAATATTACAAAATTTACTTTTAAAATATTATATAAATCAAACGTGTTTATATGAATAAAAAATGTTAATGAAAGAGTATACTGTACCATATTCACATAAATTGTTGAAAAATAAAAAGTGAATAATTATAAAAAAGATAAAATCTAGAAGTTAACAATGTAAAGAAAAGCTAACATCTCTACAAAAGGCTACAAACTGGTGAAAAATGTTTGTTTAGCAGATATTGTTAATAAATTTTAAACTCCTTAAAGCAAAAGGGCAATTTATTTGACTAAATTCTATAATTAAGTAAACTGTGAAAGAGACGCAGTTTCTAATTCCCAAATTGTTGCATGAAAATATAGTTACAGGTAAAAAAGAATGAATTCATATTTGCACAAAAGGATTTAAAGGAGCCTAGCAAACAATGAAAAAAATTCACTACTTCTTATAAAATGTATATACAACAGCATCTTGCCATTCATTATAACATGTTGAAAAACCATTGGCAAACCCTATCTTCACAATGGTAGCCAATGTAATGAACTGCTATATATCTATGTTATGTAATCTCAATGAACAAGCTGTACAGCAATTATACAAGCTCTTTTGCTCATATTAGAGTAATGCATATTTGTTCTTCACTTTCACATGCATTACAGAGCCTTTTGATCAAGTCTCTCATTCCAATTTAGGCAGCGAATCAAGCTATGGAACCAATCACCCGTTTGGTCAAATTTGTTAACAGTTGGAAGGGGATGTTGACTCATAGATATTCGGACAGAATCACCTCTCGAGAGTTGCTGCCTTCTCTTCCCATCAAATGAAACCCAGGCATTACTTCTTGCATCATCCGGAATCTGTTATTAACAAACCCTATTTAAGTATGCAACTCACATGCATTTACTAAACCTTAAATACAAATGTAGGCATAAGTCTCAGATCATAATTCATCATGATCCTTTTAGATAAGCCGTAGATGCAACTTCACTTGGCACAAAAATGGAAAATATTTGACAAGGGAGACACATCATAAGCCATGAAATAATAACATCCAATTTGATTCTATTAGGAGGGAGAGAGAGATTAACTTCACCTTTAGTTCTAATTGAGCAGAATCTGGAAGTATAACTGGCCTAAATGAGAGTGAATGTGGACAGATTGGGGTAAACAGTATGCAAGGAACATTTGGATGGACCTGCAAGTATTCTTCTGACGTTAGATACAAACATCAAGGAAAACAATTCTGAATTCCAGTATAAACTATAAAGCTGGTCCATATATTGCAGTAACACGGGTATACCATACCATTGGAAGATGCACCATATATCATCTTTGAGAAGTTCTATGACAAAATCATACAAGATGACTTCTATGTTTCTATACTAATCCAAACTTGTCAATAATTCTTTATCCGCTGTCTTGAAGAGGAACAAGTGTTTACTTCATGACATCTAAGGAGTGATTTAGTCTTTCTACATGAATTCACTATTTTTAGTTTACATGTGCTATAAGCTAAAATTGGAAGTCTAAAATAAGGTAAATGTAAGTACTGATGGGCATCACATGGAACCTTAATTTTAGGGAAGCAAGGAATAAAAGGAAAACACTGATTACGTATTTATTTCACAAAAGGGAAAAAGGTGACCGAAGAAAATAAAATATACGTAACATTGTTTAGACATTTGTGCGCTGCCAACTCATTCACTATTGTCCATCTGCATTTGCAAAATAGGAAAAAGAGAATTTCAACCGGAATAATACTACTGCCGCCTTGTTACATTATGAAGAATCTCATGCATTTATCTTTTAAGTTAAATTGTAATTTTAGTCCCCTTTAAACTCCTAATCCCAGATTTTGGCCTCCTCCACATTTTAAAAATCTGCAATTTTTATCAATCCATGGACCTAACATTTAATTTAAGATACCTAAAAGATAATTTGATTAATTAAAACATAAAAAATAAAAGTACTAAATGTATGTCAAATTGAAGATTAGACGAAAATTCTAGGCTTTCTAAAATCTGGGGACAAATTTGCAAGAAATAAAATAGGAAAACCAAGATTGCCAGTCAGAAATTAAATGGGATGAAAATTGCAATTTAGCCTATCTTCTAAGTTTCCACCTATAGTGCAATGGTGTAAAATATGGAACACAACACCATGTTCAACATCTACCTCTTGTGCAGAGAAAGAATGGCAGAAAAGCTTAGGACAAAGGCAAGAATATCAAGTCAACATATCTAATAATTCCATTGTGAGTAAAGGTGTAAAACTGTCACAAACTTACCATGGAACCTCCAGCAGCTGTAGAATAGGCAGTACTTCCTGTAGGGGTGGCCACGATTACTCCATCACCTTGCACCTGAAATACATGACACTCGTCATACAGGGTACGCCACTGCTTCATAAAAGTGTAGAGATATGAGATTTTAAATATTTACTATTCTCATCATAGAATATAAAAAGATGCAAAGATGTCTGGAGGGCATATTATAAAGACACAAGAAAGCTCACCTTGGTTATAAGTCGATCATGTTCATAACATTCAATCTTTGAAAGGTATGGATTAGAGCCCCGATCAACAACAACCTCATTGAGGATGTCAAATACTTTCCCTGGTATCGCTTTACCTTTATGAAAAATTTCACATCGGAGACGCATTCTAAGAGTAATATACACACCATCTCGTGTATTATTTCCATGAATGACTTGTCGTAAGTCTTGCTTGTAATCTTCAAACTGCAGACAGAGCAGTACAGAAGTCAAACAAAGGAAATAAAGCTATACATATTGTTTTATAGTAAAATATGTTGAGTTTTGAAAGCTTACCTTATGAGAAGTCAGAAAACCAAGGGAGCCTAGGTTAAATGACACAATAGGGGGAACAGCGTCTCTGAATAGATTTGAAGCATGCAGTATAACGCCATCTCCGCCCAAGCATGCCACAAAATCTACTTTTTCATGTAGATCGCTGAGTCAAAGACACTTGATTTGTTAAACAAACAGAATGAAAGCTAGGCCTTTTAGGAACAGAAAAAACTGCTCTGAAGCTATTCACATAAATTTAAAAACGCCAGTACCTGGTATCTTGACTATAGAAGGTATGAACAAATCCAAAGCCTGGAATTCTAGCAAATATGTCATGCACATCAGGTTCCACAAGAACATTCATTTTCTCTTGGCGATGAAGAAAAGAAGCAACCTGCAGATTAGATATAGAAACTATTGAGAACGGATGTGATGAAATTATTTACAAACTGTCATAATAAACACTCACAATTACCGTATGAATTAAAACACACAACTGCTCTTGATGCCATTCAAAGCTCAAAAATACTCCAGCCTCATGTTCTCTAACAGATTTATTCCTAAACTCCTCCAAGTCTTTATTAGATAAGGAAGTAGAATTAATCTCCCTTTTGGCCCATTCTTTATTATGGAAATCTAGATCATGTCACCCCAAAAGCATTGCTGAGCAAAAATTTCAGTAACCTATTTGTATATTTTACATCTAAATGTTGTTAATGCAACACCTTTACTTAGCCAATATTTTTCATCTCTTCAATTTTGCGCATTTGGAAAATCCTTAGAAATTGAACGGAAGAAAGGGACAAACAAAATGTTATAGCTTTGGGTTTTACAAATATCTTTAATCATTATCATGGAATTCAAACTATCTGAAGCTTGAACGATCAAATAAATAATAAAAATCTATCAATCTTAAATAATTGGCAATCATAATGAGAAAGCACATATAAATAAAGTCAACCTTGAGTCCAAATCTTATTAAATGAAATCTTATACAAACAAGCTTTTGATGAGAACCCATACAAAAATTTATACATATCTGTTACATAATTATATAGTTACAAATAATATGAAAAATATTTATATAATGATATAAAATTATTTTTAAAATAAAAACACTATAACATATAAATATCAAATATTTTTATACTTTTATAATACGAACTATTAAATAGGGGTGTCAAAATGAGCCAATCCGACTCACATGGGTTGACTCACCACTGGCTGAGTTGAAAATAGGTGAGCTCAACCCGGCTCACTTTATGGCGAGTCGAAATTTCACAACCCAGTTGAACCCACTACGGGTTGGTGGGTTAGCTCACTAACCAACATTTTTTTCTTGTTTTTTGTTTTCTAACAAGCACGATGTAATAGTGGGACTGAACGTAATGACGCGGTGGCACAACAAACTCTCTAATGCAACTGAAATGCGACAAACGCTATGATACAACTGAAACACGATAATGTGGTGACGCGACGAATGCACTGGTGTGACGAATGCGGTGGTGTGACAAATGTTGTGGCACGATTGAAATGCGAGACTGAAACACTGTGGTGTTGGCATGACAAAAGTTATGATGCGATTATAACATAATTGATGATAACCTTGAGTGAGAGTTTGAGTTGTAGTGACGACATGGAATAGAGATAGAGAAAAAAAAAATCAATTAAAATTACTAAATTATTATTAATTATTTTTAAAATTTAAAATGAATGGTGAGTTGCGGGTCAACCCACCATAACTCGGCTCGAACCCGCATAACCCGTGGGTTAAGTGAGCCGGGTTCATTTTTAACCTATTATCGGGAGAAATAAAAACAATCGAACCTAACCCGGCTGGAACCTGTGGTGAGCCAGGTTTGCTCACGGATTAAAACCCATATTGACACCGCTACTATTAAATAGTCAAGCTGGGGAGTAATTCTCAAGCTAGCATTGTTTTCTAAATATGTTTCATCCTTATCTCTAATCAATTTATTTACAACACGAGACAAACCAAACCTAAGCCTCTTACTAATAGCTCAGCACAACCAGAATCCAACAACTATGGTTCTTTAGGTTAATGGGGGAAATGGTATATAAGGTTTATTAAAGATACACCTATAGTCATAGAAGATGGAAAACAATGCCAATGCATGTCATGTTCAATGCTAAATCTTATTGCAAATATATTGTTCCTAAACACTCTAGCATAGACAATTTCTTTGAACCACTTTCATGCTTTTTGGAGTCTAAGAAAATCATTACCAATTTTGCTTCTTCCATTAGTTCATCCCCGAGTTTTTTCAACAATAACACATTCTTCGGCATAGACTTCCACATAAGCATCTGCTGCTGGGTGCTAGGATGAGTGAAAGCCAAAGAAGATTCAGTAACTTTTTCTCTGGTACAAGAAAATCCATCTGTTCGAACTAGGAACATCTCAGCCTTCTTTCTTGATTGCACTCTTACAACTCCTGTTGAAGAAGCACACATATTTCCTTCAATGGATCCCAAGTCGTCATCATTTAAGGCTAACCTATCCTTAACCATTTGATCTTCAATCCTTTGAGAGTTAGTTGTCACATTGTCAAAATCAACCTCCGCAATGTTGGAACCATTGGCATTAGTGATGTATTCCTGTTCAAAAAATCCATTTACTGTCGTCCTAATAGAACTAGAAGTACTCCTGTTCACTAAATTCCTATTGCTGACTGTAAGTTGGGACTCGCTAGATGGATGATCCACATGGGCAGATCTATTTAAACTTTCTGGACCTACTACTTTAGGTATGGGATTATCACTACTGCTGACATCCACACCTCCCCGTAGTCTTGTGATATTCATGTTCCTTGATTGCCGAATGCATTCCAACCTTCTACTCTGATAATTGACATAAGAGGGTGGTGAGATCCTCCGGTTTCCCAAAAATTTTGACATCTCTCTTTTTGAAAAGATATCACAAGGAGGAACTTGAGATTTTAAAGGGTTAATTTTGCTGAAGTCACTTGGAAAAGATCCTTCCTCATTAGCAGCAGTGGCTTCTGATAATTCCCTGTTATCAGTAGAAACTTCACTCAAGCCTGTAGTAACTTGTGCTTTACCATTATACTTCTTTTGAGAGGTACTTCTGTCAAATGTTCCAACAGAACTATGTGTTGAGTCCAAATTCTCTGGCAATGAATTGATATCCTTTTCCAGGGAGGATTTCTCTGCAATAACTGAAGAATTCTGAAGTTTTGCAGATCCATTTCTATAACGTGATAACATGTCAGAGGGTTTAACTGGTGAATTAGAAACAATCTTTGATGAAGATCGAGTCATGTACTGCTTCCATCGGGAGATCATGGCAGATGTTCTCAAAATGCCTTCCTTGCTGTGCAGATAGATAGGCCTTTTGCTGCAATTTGAAACATAAGATGCAAAGCTCACAACCTGTTCCATCGTAGGTGCAGTCCTAACTTCAACTGGGATTTTCACCAATTCAATTCTTCCAGATGAAATAGTATCATGCAAAGCCGCTTGATAGAAGTTATCTTTCACAATCTCTGCTCTGAGATCTATAATGGTTTTAAATCCTTTATCCAGTAACCACTTTAGGCCTTCTTCTGTTACCTGACCACCTGTCCAAAAGGCTGCTTCCGTGTCTTTGGTTTCCATGTCCTCTTTAGAGGCAGATAAATGTACAGGATTCCAATTTGCAAATAGTGTATGACAAGGAAAACCCTCCCCACGAGGAAAACCAGAATCATAGCAGACATTCTTCAGTCTTTGAAGTTTCCGCCATACATTTAAACTTCGATCATCATCAGGTATTAAATAGTTCTCGAGAGCTACATGCAAGCTCTCGGAACACCTTTTCATCTCACTCCTAAAAAGGGCAAGTGGGGGGAGGTTATCCTCTGATGTAGTAACATCTGCAGCACGAAAGGAATTCATAATTGAGGATCTTCCGGAAAGAATATCCTCCCTGCCTTTGTTCACAAGGGATACCATGCATCCAAGGACAGAAACTATTTTATCTTCTAGTTGAGGTTTCTCATCTGATGGAACCTCATATGAAACACTACATTCACCAGTCAATGGGTTACATAATGTATCCATTAATGCAGAATGAAGCCTTTCTGAATTCCTAAAGATCCTACAAAACGCCTCAACTTCAGCAATGTCACCTGGAACTGGACCCATCCAAGACAACCGTGATGAATCATTGGATTGGAAGGAATTCAAATTCTAAAAAGAAAAGTATCAAAACAAATTTGAAAGATGGATGTCAGTCCATGACATGAATAACAGGAATTAAATCATTAATGCATGTAAACTGAAATATTAAACAAAAGAAAAACGAAGAACAGGAAGACAAAGACACTAACAACAGTATGCTAAAGCACACATTCAAAATTAGGAAAATGAATTTACTGAAGATGAATTTGATATTCCAGGCTTTAGATGTACTTAGGAACCCCCATTTGTTCATATTGCAATTGCAAAGTAACTAAGAAAATAAAGCAAATGGTTCCACTACTAGCGAGTATAAGGATTGGTCAAGTGCACAATCAAAAACAAAGTTAATAAAAGAATATCAAAAGCAACTAAATTGCACAGAGATGAAACATGCAACGCGTGTGCAAAATTCAGAGAGGAGAAAGGATGATTTACTTATGTGCATTCCTTACTTCACAGTATAATGAGTTAAAAGTTCCTTGTGTTGCGATATTGGATGAAAATGAAACCACATTGCAATAACACGATGATATTCCGTGATATTACTTCACATATTATATTTTGAAATCCTAAACTCTTGTGAATCAAACAAGAGAAAAGTTAATTTCCCTCCCATCCATTAAAATCCCTCCCCTTCATCAAAATCCGTCCTCTCCTCCTAACCAAACAGGATATCTAATCAATATCTCTCTCCGTCCTTCATATTCCTTCCCTTCCCCTCCCTCCCTCCTCCCTCCCCAACTCACTTTTATAATATCATTTCCCAAGAAAAAAAAATTTATTTCAACACCAATTCTTATAACATCAATTCTTTCAAAATTAAATTCTATAAAAATTATAACAAACACACTCTTGATTACGCGTGAGCCAATATCCAAGTAAGAACGGGCTCCATACCAAAGCTTCTTAAACATATGAAAACTAATTTAAAGAACAAAACTCAGATACAGTTCCTTAACTGGTTTTAGTGTTGTTATCATAATTGAAGTTACACATTGAAAACAGCACCAAAAACACCAAAGAGATTACATATAATTTTTTTCATTTCCCAAATCTTACATTTCAAAACACGTACATACAAACCAGATGGATTTCTTAGATAATATAACACCAATCAAAACTTGATAAAAAAAAATAGTATTATTTAAACTCCCCAACAAGTAGCATATATCATCTACCATCAAATACACTCGCACATAAAAACACTATTTCTTTTATAATAAAATCTAAGCCATTGGGCATCTTAATCCAAATAAAAAAACTTGTCCGACGAAATATTGTGTCTACCAGGTACAACTAATAAAAAATTCAAAACTATATTAAAATAATTTCAGAAGAACCTTTCTATTCTCATCATCATTATTTTAATTATTTTTTTATAACCATTATCAAATTACTATATACACTTAAAAGAAAGTTGCAAGAATTTGAAACTAGTACATCATAAACTGAACAAAGGGGAAGTTACGAACTGGAGAGTCGAGACCGAAACTTAAAGAAAAGGAGTCAGAAAGTTGGGCGCTGATGACCAAGTTGAAGTGTCGACGGAGCCTTCTTCCCTTCCTCTGAAACTCCAGGCCCAAGAACGACGGAGGAGGCTTGAAGAAACACTGATACGAGGGTGACAGGGCCACGGCTATATCCGCGGAGAATGCCATGTCGATGCATGCTACCATCTGAGTTCGCGACGATCTTCCAAAATAAGAATATTTATTTATTTATAGTAATTAAAATTAAAATAAAACTGTACCTTGTTTTTTATTTTTATTTTTTTTTTCGATATTTGGATGTGGAGAAGAGAAAATGAGAACGAAAATGAAAAAAATTGTGGCTGGAAAATGGCGAAGGATAATAATAATTTTGGTGGAGGAGGCATGATGTCTTTTGTGCATGTGATGTGATGGTTATTACGTGGATTTTACCTTTTTTCTTATCCATTTTCCTCTCTCATATTTCATTGGGCCATGTCATGGACCAAAATCTACTTGATCTCACCCTTCATTCATTGTATAAATTATAGAACTAACTGCATTTTTTTCTCCTTGGGATTGATTTTTATAGTTTTTATTTATTTAATTTAAACTGTAGATAGTTTTTGTCTCGTAGTTTTAATGGTTTGAACTTGCTCCATACATTTAAAAAATAGAATCATTTTAGAGTATGTCACGTTCACTTTTTTATAACGTTTAATATAAAAGTATGAAAAAATTATAAATTAAAATCATTTTACATTAAAAATTATTTTATATAATTTTTTTTACATTTAATATACACATATATTAAATTAACTTATGAAAAATAAAATTCTTCATATTTTTATCTCTATGAAATTATCATAGAGAAATTCGTATAAATATTTTCTTATTCTCATTGTTAACTTATTATCATCTATTTCTTTATAATTTAAATTATGCAATAAATTATTAACTATTTTGACTCTACTTCACTTTTAATTATTTTATAATTATTTATTAAATATTTGAAATATTTAATATTTTATAATAAATTATTTAGTTTGTAAAATATAAATAATTAATGTCATACAAATATTTATATAGATTTTAGTGAGATCATATTTATCAAATTTTAGATGATAAACTTCTACTCAAATAATTGTAATTCACAACAATTAAAAATAAATTCAATGATATCAGCCATGAAGAAGATAAACGTTAATTAAAAAAATCCGTATCAGACCTTAATAGAAGAATAACCGAAAAAAGTCAATTGAGATGAATTATTAACAAATATTTGTGAATCGTTAATATTTTTTAATATTAAATTTAATTTTGTATTTGATGATAATTGTAACGTTTTATTTAAATATATAATTAAAAGTTCAACAAATTTATATTATCTTATCCAAACAAAACATTTAAGAAACTAAATAATTTAAAATGAATAAACTAATAAATTTATATTCAAACAAGTCTTAACCGAAAATGAATTGAATATTAACATAAAAATTCTATTGTTCACGCTCCAATCTATCCGTGAAGGGGTATCTGCATCTAGAAAATCTTTTATAATGTGGTCAATTCGAATATTTGATCTATACATTTGACCAACTATAAAATTAAAATACAATTGGCCAAATAATAACGTCCAATATCAATCAATCATAATTTGAGTTTATAGAAGAAATGTACGGAGAATTGTTTGAATAACAACTCTCTCAAAACAAATAGATCATATAAGTATACATGAATAATTAAGATTAAAAATTATTTACTAGCTGTATGACCACTTAGAAAAATCACAAAAACTTATTTTAATCGATCATTAATAAAATTCTATTGTTTGTGAGCTACTACATGCAGGCTTTAAACTCTCCAGATTCTTGACAACCTGAATGTCAATAAAAGTAGCAATAAGAGAAACACTATTGGTGAGAAACACTATTAAGTTGCATGTTTGGTTTAAATTTTGGCATTCGTTAGTCCACGTCCACTTGAAGGAATCAAATGCTGTTGTCTTTTTCTGTGTCGCGGAAATAAGTAGGGAGGGGCATCAGGAACGCTGAAGCAACAAACATGCGGTAATGTGTCGCTAGAAATGTCACGTGATTTCAGATTCGAGAAAAGCATTTTGCTTACCCGATCCGAACATGCCATCAGAAATGCCTCATTTACACAACCTAGCACATGTTTATTCCCTTTACTTACGCCCCTGGCCACTTTGCGTTAGAAGACAATCTGGCAGACTGGTACTAGACACGCATGATTCTGTAACTAAATTTTTCTTCTTAGGCTTAATTTCTTTCTTAATTGTAGATAAAAAATTTTATTAGAACACCCTTGTCATTTTCGTTATAACTTTCCAACCTAATTCTATGGAATTAAGGGTGTTATTTCTCAAGCAAACTCACGAAGGTACAGATATAATTCTTTGACCTTTACTAAGCTGCTGCTGATGATGTTCCCTTCGACCAAGGTTGAGTTTTTTCTTTTATCTTTCGTTATGGAAATCAGGACAAGACAGATTCTTGTTCCTATTCACTGCATGCTACTTCTAGTTCGGACTCTATCTATAAGCCTTTGCCTTCCTGATAAATCATCTTCATAACTAACAACCTGCATTGTGACAAAAGACATTCACCAAATATACTCAGAAATAGTCATTAGTCAACAGCCACAGCAAAAGGTAGCTAATTCTTGTTCCAGGGAGAGATAGGTATCTAACAATAAATGTTAAACAAAAAAACAAGTCGCAAACAAGACAAAGTACTTGGAAAATTTGAACTGTAAAAGCAGTAGGCAATGTCCAAATATAACCTGAGATTCTGTCTGTGTTTCACTAAAACCATCGTATGTTCGTGTTCCTCTTCCTTGTGAAGCCTCCCCATCATCATCATCTTCATCTTTTCTGCCACTTCTAAGAGAATGTATGTACAGTACTGATTAAAAAAAGGTGAAAAAATGATATGCATTCTGGTATAATTCACACTGTTATCAGGATGAATTGTTAGCTTTGAATAGATAAGAGTTCGAACTTTATTATCATAATTTTACACTAAATAAAAAGATAGAATCCACATATTATCCAAAAATAATAGTTGCGCAAATGACATATTGAAGATTTTCAGGTTATGCTATGCTCCAATCAAATGCACAAGTTATTGCACATTAACCAAAGATTACTCTTTCCTACTTCAATTTTAATCATCAAAGCCAACAATCAGAAGGGTACATCCAGCTTATTCCAAAAGGCAGAACAAAAAATTCTAACGAGACACAGGACAATGTAAGAACGGATGAGGAGCCAATTCAAAGCAGGTACCACCCACGGTATATCAAATTAAAGAGCCTTCTGCAACTAGTTGGATTTCTATCCTTGACCACAATTATCAAGAAACTAGGATATTTGTAATTATTCTTTTATTTTTTACCAATTTTTTATAATCTCATCCATATTTAGCTTAACTTCCAATCTGCATAACGATGAAGTACTATATGACATTTCCACGAAAATTTTAAAAGAAAAACGATATTAACAAACTCTCAAATAAACTCTTTTAAACACCTCTGTCATTGGTTGAAATTTATTGGAAATCATAAAATTTTGTGAATCCCATATCTAATTTAATAAACATCTCTCTTAATTTTGTAGTGTTCAATAAATTCTAATCATTAAAGTGATCGAATAGGTCTTTCAAAGGGCACTGACATAAAACAATCTAATTTTGACAAAGAAAGATTACGTGGCGATATGAGAAAATTTTGATAAATTTTAAACACGGAACTACAGAGCTAACCTGTTTAACCAGTGTTTAGATAACCCAAAGACAGTATGAGGATTGGAATTATCTTCACCATGGACTGAATGATCAGATGGGTAAATCTATTCTACCATCAAGGATCACAACTACTCCCAAAAATAAATTAAGAAAATCATAAAATAAAACACAACCTCAATGAAATTGATCACACTTTAAGGATACACTTCTTTCACACCCTTTCTGTGCTGGGGACCTCTGATCATGCATCTTTGTGAGAAGATAAAGAGAAAGTTGGCCATAAGTGGAGTAAAACATTTAATAAAATATTAACTAACAAAAAATCAGCTCTTGTACCTTACTCGTCTGCTCTAACAAGTCCTCAATTGCAGCAGCAACATCAGGAACAGCAAGACAAACCTCCCCAGCGTCCATTAGCATATTGTCTCGAGAAAAATTCTCTCCATTGGCATGACTACCCGAAATTGATGCTGAAGGTATTTTGTTAGATTGGCAAGGTTCTTCCACAAGCCTTGCCCTTTTGCTATAAATATTTGATTTCTTAAAATTGGTCTCATGATTATCAACTCCACAACCGACATTTTTATTCGGGATCCCTGTCAAAGTTTGTGATTGACTTGACAACTGTGAGGGCATTTCACTTATCATTTGAGCAGCTTGGGTAGGAAATTGACTCACAGTGCAAATTCCTGCCTCTAGGTCTTGACCACTTACTTCTTTAGGTAAAAATTGATCAATGGCAACAATTCCATTCTGAAAAAAAAAGAAAGTTGCATATTGACAAGGACTTTCATAGTAAAAAATACATACATAGAAAATGCATGTAGACTTTCATGCAAAACAAAATCTCAATGCATAGACGTATTTGGAAGCTATCACTACACTACCCTGTACACGGTCATCATAAATAATATTACCTGTTTTACGCATTCAAATATCCATTCCGATGTAACTGACTGAATCCCCCATTTTTTAGCACCCTCATACTTGGGCCCATTGGTGAATTTACACAACAAATGCGTAACCTTCTTAGTCAACTTCTCCCCAAATTTAGCTCCTAGAACAAAACACAAATTTCTTAGGAGATTTCTGTCTTTCTCCTCATACTGTGAAACACAAAATCGGAATCTTTCAAATCCAGGCAAGGGAACACGGCAGGGAAGCGGAGAAAAAAGAATGTGACTGTCAACATCCAGCAAGGATCCAGCCTTCAAGAAAAATAATCACAAGTATGTAAACAAACATATATTCACAAAGAATCCCGTTTTTCAACAGAAAAAGGAATCATCATACACAATGATAATAGAACTATATAAACTGATTACATTGAAAATAAAAAGTTAAAGGATTTTCCTTTCCTCTAAATCAAATAATGCTTGTGTGTAATCTTCTAAACAATAAATACAGATTTATTCTAATTCTCAAAGTCTTCCACCATGTCTCTTAGATTCAAACGAGCAGCACAGGTGGTGATAACATTGGCCTTGTAGTGTTTAATCAAGATTGGTAAAAGGAATAGCGCACAGCCAGCCCATGTGGGTGATGCCATGATGAAACTGTGGAGTGTGGTGGTATGTTAGGATCCAATTACTAGGTACGAGATTTGAATCCCACACACTGGAAGTATGGGACTCTGAGTAGGGTTGATGAATTCTTAGGTGCTCAACCTACAATGCTAGCTTTTGTTGTGTGGTGCTCCCAAGGAGCTTATCAGGGGGGTAAAATATGTTTTGAAACATTTAAGATATGCTTCTTTCGTTTGTGACAATAAATGATACTAGAGATTAGAAAAGGAAAGGCATAACCAGAATTTCAGATTTCAAATTCAAAAACTATAAGGAAAAGAATACATCCATCACATATGATTGAAGTTTTAAATTTTTGTAGACATGTAAAAATGGATCCAACTTTCATTAGTTTCCCACAATATATAATAGCCCAACAAGCACCTGGAAAACCAAGAAAAAAACCTTGAAAAATAGGGCGGAGAAGCGAAATCTATATTTGTAACTAATAATAAGGCTTACCTCCAAAGAAGATCGTATCCAATGACTGGAAATACACAAACTCTTGGAATCACCTGTCAAAATGGGTGTTACACCATGACACTCAATAGTATAGTGGGCGATCTGTATTGTTTGCCTACTTATTATCTCTCCTCCCCCTTGACTTATCCATTGAACAATCTCACCTCTCTGAAAAATAGCTATCGAAACTAGAATTAAACAACATCCGCGAGCATATATGTGCATATTTTAGGTGAAACAGAACATATAATTACATTTATAGCAACTGTTAATTATAGAAACTGAAAAAACAAAAAGCATACAAAACACTAAATAGTTATACCATATCAAAATAGATGATTCGGCAGGCATATAAAAAAATGAAGAGTCCAAGCACCAAAAAGCTGCAGTTGAAATAGTTACTATGGTATCGACTATCTTAGTAATTATTCAAAAATTTGCCTACAAAGCATCTAATAAATTTCCTATTAGCATGTAATCTAGCGTTTGTTTAATATAAAACCAATCAAGCTCCTTCACCAATCAACTTATTATGATTCCAAATTAACTATTAACAAAGAATTGTGGTACATCAGGAAACTCAATTTGATAACTAATTAATTGACATGGCCTTAAGTAACCTCAACTATGCTTGAGGTTTGCAGGAAAATGAGCTTTCTTTGGAATGATATGTAAGAAACTGAATGGTTTATTTGGTTAATTGGAATGTTGCATTTGTTTCTAATTTTCATGAACCATTTGGGCTTAAAGCATATGCCCAATACACAGGCCCACCTACCCTGTGCTTCAACATTTTATTAGAAGAATAGGGATAGCAAGACTTGAAATAGATAATAGGAAAATAAAAAAATGTTTTTTTGAGAGCTTAATTTTTTTCTCTTGCATTCTCTTATTTATAGGGGATAAAGATATAGATTCTGAGATACAATAAATAAGAAAAAATGATTAAACCTAGAAAAAATAAACAAATACATTCTAGGAACTAAGTCAATAGTTAGATACAACTAATCTAATAAATACTTAACACTCCCCCTCAAGCTGGAGTATACAAATTGTATGTACCAAGCTTGGAACAAAATGAATTCCATTCGAGGCCTTCTCAAAGATTTTGTTAATGCATTTGCAAACTGATCGTTGGAACCAACAAATTTAGTACAAATTTCTTTAGACAACAACTTCTTCCGAACAAAGTGACAGACAATCTCAATATGCTTAGTCCTCTCATGAAATTCTGGGTTGGAAGCAATGTGGAAAGCTGCTTGATTATCACAATACATCTTCATAGGTTGAATCTCACAGAAGTTTAGTTCTTGCAAGAATTGTTTTACCCATACATGTTCACAAGTGAGAGACGTTATTGCCCTATATTCAGCTTCAGCAAAGGATCGGGCAACTACATTTTGCTATTTGTTTTTCCATGAAATGATATTACCTCCAAGGAAAACACAGTAGCCTGTAGTGGATCGCCTGTCCATAGGAGATCTAGGCCAGTCAGCATCACAGTACCCAAAAATTTCGATATTTCCCTTATCTTCATATAACAAACCTTGTCCTAGAGCTCTTTTAATGTATCTTAGGATTCGAATGATAACATTCCAATGATCAACACAAGGGGCTTGCATAAATTGGCTGACAACACCAACTACAAACGATAAATCAGGTCTAGTAATAGTCAGATAAATAAGTTTCATAACCAGTCTTCTATATCTTTCTGGGTCAAAGAAAGTTTCACCTTGTCCTGCCATTAATTTTAAATTTGGATCTATAAGGCTGTCCACAGGTTTGCAATCAATCATACCTGTCTCTTTTAGAATATCTAGAGCATATTTCCTTTGAGAAATGACAACACCTTCTCTTGATTGAGCCACTTCAATACCTAAGAAATATTTTAGATTTCCAAGATCCTTGGTCTGAAAATGACTACACAAGTGCTCTTTTAGCTGATATATTCTAGCAGCATCATTCCCTGTGATGACAATATCATCAACATACACAATTAAATAAACATGTTTGCCAGGGGTAGTGTGACAATAAAACACTGAATGATCTGCTTCACTTTGTTTTAATCCAAAAACTTGCACAATAGAGCTGGATTTTCCAAACCAAGCACGTGAAGATTGTTTTAGGCCATAGAGAGATCGACGTAATTTACAGACCAAACCAGACTCCCCCTGAGCAACAAATCCAGGAGGTTGCTCCATGTAAACTTCTTCTAAGTCACCATGCAAAAAAACACATTTTTAATATCCAATTGATGAAAAGGCCAATGACGAATGGCGGCCATGGCAAGAAACAGGCAGACAATGGTCATTTTGGCTATAGGAGAAAAAGTATCAAAATAATCAAGTCCATATATCTGAGTGTACCATTTAGCCACTAATCTGGTTTTGAGACGATCAATTTGACCATTAGGCCCAACTTTAATAGCATAGATTCAACGACAACCAACTGTTTTCTTCCCCAAAGGGAAAGGAAACAACTCCCATGTTTTGCTGTGATCAAGAGCTTGCATTTCAGAAATCATAGTTTGTCGTCATCTAGGATGGTCAAGTGCTTCTGCCACATTTTTGAGATCGTAATAGAGGATACAAAAGAAATAAAAAGAAAAATAGGAAGGAGACAATCTATAATAGCTAAGAAAATTGTAAAGGGGATGAAGATTACGAGTAGAACGAGTACTTTTGCGAATGGCAATGGGCCAACTGGAGTCATCGTTATCAGGAGCCGTGGTATTAGAAGATGATTGAAAAGGACCTGTTATGGGCGATTCATCTTAGGGAATGGGCTTATTCACCTGGTTCCTGCGTTGATAGGTGATGAAAGGCTGTGATGATGATTTTGAAGTATTTTGGTTGGGATTTGGGGTGTCAGAAATAGGAGATACAAATGACTCAACTAAGGGGATAGGAAGAACATGTTGGACAGAATCAGTATCCTGCACAGAAGAAGGGAAAAAGGGGGATGATTCAAAAAATGTAACATTAGCATGCATGTAGTATCTCTTGGTTTCAGGAGAATAACACTGATATCCTTTTTGAAGACGAGAATATCCCAAGACACATTTGATAGCTCTAGCTGAGAGTTTATCTAAGCCTGGAGACATATCATGAACAAAACAAATACATCCAAATACCCGAAGAGAAACATGAAAGAGTGGTTCCTTTGGGAATAAAATAGAGTGTGGAACTTTTTTGTCAAGAGAAGACGATGACATTCTATTAATGAGAAAGCATGCAGTTAGAATAACATCTCCTCAATGATGAATAGGCATATTGGCACCAAGATATAAGGTACGAGCAGTTTCAACCATGTGTATTTTTCCGTTCTACTATAGCATTTTGCTGTGGTGTGTGAGCACAAGTGGACTGGTGTAAAATGCCTTGAGAACTTAGGATGTTAGAGAAATCATTAGAAAAATATTCTTTGGCATTATCACTTCGTAAAACTTTGATTACTTTTTCAAATTGAGTTTTGATTTCATTAAGGAAAGATTTAAAGTTAGGCAATAGTTCTAAGCGATCTTTCATTAGATAAACCCAAGTACATCTAGAAAACCCATCAATAAAAGTAACAAAATATCTAAAGTCAAAAGATGAAACACGACTAGGTCCCCAAATATTTGAATAAATAATACTAAAAGCAGAATCACATCTAGATTCAGAATGATTTAGAAAAGATGACCTGGTATGTTTTCCTAGTTGACATGATTCACATTCAAAAGTTTGAAGGTTCTGAAGTTCAAGAACCATTTTTTTTAGTTTTGCTAAATGAGGATGCCCTAATCGCTCATGTAAAAGTTTTGGGGATAAGGATACAACACAAGATATAGATGAATTAGTCCCAAGGTAGTATAAGCCTCCAGATTCATGTCCTTCTCCAATCAGTCGACCCGTACCATGTTCCTATATAACAAAATAATTGGCATTAAAGGTTACTGAGCAATTCAATTATTTGGTTAATTGGCTTACAGAAATAAGACTAAATAGAAAAGAAGGAACACAAAGAACATTTTGTAAGTTTAAAGGAGAGATAGATACTTGACTAATCCCTTTAGAGACTACTTTAGATCCATTGGCTAAAGATATGAGATGGGAGGTTTTAAGAAATGATAGAGAGGAGAATAAAGAGGTATTACCAGATATGTGGTCAGAAGCACCTGAGTCAATAACCCACAAATGTTGACTTTCCACAGATTGCGAAATGTAAACGGTTGACGAATTTGGAGTTGTAGATACTTGAGCCAGACTGGTTGATTTCATCCTTAAATATTCTTTATACTCTTCATGAGAGAACTTGGGTTCAACAACTTCAGATTTTGAAGTATTGGTTGTCTTATCAGGAGAGTCATGCAGAGCAAAGCAATTTTCCTTAGTATGACCCATTCTTTTGCAATGAGTGCACTGAGGACGTCCTCTATTGCCGTGATTACCTCTTCCACGAGCAGAAATCATGACGGAAGATTCAACAAGTTCTTGACTATTTTTACCTTCAATAGATGGAACACGAAGTAGCCTTGTGATTAAACTCTCCATAGAAAGAACTTCTTGTCCAGTTAAAATTTGATCTCTATCATGATTAAATTCTAGATTCATAGTCCTAAGAATCATAACCATATAGAATTTATCTAGCTTCATCTTTTTCTCCTCTAATGAATCTACCTCAAGGAACATTTTTAATTCTTCAACTACTGATTGAGCTTCAGCAACAAAGGACATCATATTATTATCCTCTTGCTTAAGGGAGGCTAGTCTATTAGTAGAATCATAGAGTCGTTGAATATCATTAGCAAAGATATTTTGGGCCTTTTTCTAGAAGGAATTACATAACTTGAAGGATCGGAGAGTGCTCAAAATATTTAGTTCAACTGATTGTCATAATAGAGCACAAAGCTGATAATCAAGTTTCTTCCATTGAGAAGCCTGATCTGCTGGTTTTGTACTTCCGTCGTCTTCTAGATGATCATGAACCCTTTGTCCTAGAAACCAGAATTCAACAGAGGAGGCCTAAGACAAGTAATTTTTTCTATTTAATTTTTCTGTTGTTATAGTAGGAGTCCCAGAAAAAGATACAGATGGTGCAGGTCCTGATATTTTTATTCAGGAAACGAGAGGACTCTTAAGAAAAAAAAAATATCCAGTAGGATGTTTGGAGAGAGAAGACCGAGAGCAATGAGAGAGTACCAAGAAACAATGTATACGAAAGGGTTTACCAAACTTTTGGAACATAAAAACAAAGGGTAGATCCGGCTTCAAGACGACGAGGTGAGCCAAATGGCGGTGGTCTGGAGCAAAACGGCCACCGGGAAGGCGGTGCGTGAACCACACCCGCAGAGGAAGCAGCGGACGAAGGCACCCCATGGTAGCGCGTCCAACAGAGATAGCTGAAGCGACCACCGAGGTTGGGTCGCGCTCCTCGAGGCAATCCTAACCCAAGTACGAAAGGGTGAAACGATGCCGGCAGACGACGGTGGACGTCAGAGAAAATGGAGAGACAGGTAGAGCGGAACGAACCCGCTCTGATACCAACTTGAAATAGATAATAGGAAAATAAAAATATATTTTTTGAGAGCTTAATTCTTTTCTCTTGTGTTCTCTTATTTATAGGAGATAAAGATACAGATTCTGAGATACAATAAATAGGGAAAAATGATTAAACCTAGAGAAGATAAACAGATACATTCTAAGAACTAGGTCAATAGTTAGATACAACTAATCTACAAATACTCAACAACAAGGATTGAGCTCAACTATTTTTGGTCATTAATCCTCTTATAATTGATATCATGTCATGAAATAACTATCCCAAAAGCTTAAGTTGTCCTGAGAAGGCAGACGAATGATTTTTATAGTACATTTAATACTGATAAAGTTCCAGGTTTTGCTAGAATAAAGCTGTGGCCTTTTAATGTTTAAAAAAATGTATATACATATTGTCCATGAATTATGCCGGTGTTGATTTCAATTAACCAAATAAACTCTTTAGGAAGAGTTTATGCCTATTAAGAACATAATAAATTACCTTTTCTTCTGGAAACAAATTTGAGAAACAAAACAGTTTCCCTCTAAAAACGTTTGCTGACTTTGCATATTGAAGACTGGAGTCATGTTGGCTCATTCTCTTGGCACCCAATTTATTATCAGGAGGTTGATTTTGCAACATAGTTTTACCAATTGCTTTACGGAGTGTGTGACCATTTATTTCCAAATCTTTTATCTCTTCTTTTCTATTCTCCAAAGATTCTGGTTTCACAATTTCGAAGTCCACCTGATGCGAGCTTTGATGATAGCTGGAGCTTTTACAGTGATCCATAGATGTGTTCCCTGTTACTGCTCCTTTTACCAAGCTTGCTGAGTTTAAGAAAGCAGAGAACAAATGAAGCATGAATTCAATAAAATCAAGCTTATAAATTACTTAAGAAAAATCTAATAAACTAACTAAAAAGTGTTCTCCAGCTTGAACATGATTAAGAGATAATAGACACAGACTACAAATGTGAATATGCACATCATGATAACAAACCTTTTGGATGAAGTAGATCATATGCAATATGTCTCCTAAGAATAGGGACTTCTTTCTTCTTATGGTCACAATCTTCAAGCCATGTGGTTTTAACAACATAAATTACACCTAAAGCAGCAAGACTCCTCACATCCTTCTTTTCCCTGGACAAACACAAATGCACGTGAAGATAGATAGCAAAACGAAAAGAAGAATAAGGTTTCCTAAACATTTAAGATTGATACCGATAACAGTCTAAAACATATATTCAAGAAACTATCGAGAAACATAAACATGAAACGCACCCATAAAGATTCTTCTTAATATCAGAATTGACTTACATTTCAGTAGGATTCCCAACTACTATGTGTGTCAATTTGTCATTAAAAGACATATAACGGGAGCCTCCACCTCTACGCACAATATTAACTAGCTTCCGCATTTCTATAGCATCAAAACCAACTAGGAGTATTCTGCACTCTGATAAGTACAAGTCATTATCATCAGATTCAGAATCATCAGCAACAACACCATCAAAGTTCAATCCACCACAGGTCTGCAATGGAGGTTCAGCATCTGCCTCCTTAGAAAATATAAGAGTTTGTAAAGCAGAGGACATATGTTCTGACTGTGTAGCTTCTAGATCTCTATCCATAAACTCAGCGCAGGAAACTTGCACATTTGAATCTGTAGCACCTGAGGATGCCGCAGATTGCAATTTCCCAATATTCTTTTCTTGGCTATGTTGTATTGTTAAGTCCCTAGTCACTTTATGTGAAGATATAGATCCATGCTGAACAGGGAAGAACTCCTCATTAAGACATGCTATCCACGAAAAGGAAATACAAATAAATAAATGCTGAAGGTCGAATACAATGAGTGGCATTGAAAGTTTAGAGATGAGATGAAAAGGAAAAAGGAGACAGTATATTTCACAGGACTGTGAATAATTGTATACAGATACAAACTCTAGCTTCAAATTCCTACCAGCCGAGTAAATATTCATTTGATCCTCCTATGATATTGGTGACATTACATTGGCCTCCATATATAACTAGATAAAAATACTCTCCAAAACATGTATTATTGGACCACAAACCGGATCACATGCAGAAGTCCAATTCTCAGAATAACAAAGTGTTGAAAATATCATATTAATGACATGGACAAAATAGTGTATAAATGGGAGGGGGTAACCCTCAATACATCATTTTGAAGTTGAGTTAGCCTAAACCCAAATTTTGAGACTATTAACTCAAATAACATTAGATATTAACATGTGGCATTCTACTATTTAGTCTCTAACCTGAAAAGTAGTGTAACAAACAAACATTATTAAGAAAATAGAAGCTACCTCTTCGAGCAATAGATTGATCAAACCATTTCCTCATCACAATATTAATGTGGCCCCATCGTTTTGCTACCTTATATTTGTCACCTTCAGGAGCGTAAGAACAGTCAAGAACACAAATATGCATCATGTTCAAACCATAACAACATATCCTTGAGTTCAAGTACTGAATAATTCAGGCATAGATGATCGCACAGAAAAAGACAAGAACAACTTTTCAAACTTTTACACAACTTGCTAGTAAAGTGGAGCATTTAAGCCTCTAAGCAAATGCAATAAGAGACACCGAAACAAGAAAATTTAGAATAAAACCTAAAAATATTTCAGATACATGAACTTCTGTTATCAAAAGGTTCGCTAATGCAGGTGAAACAAAATTTCCCCTAGCCAGCCGGTGTTGAAAAAAACAATCTGACAATTCTCGTAGATTGTTAGGAAAAAAAAAATGTCATACATTCAAACAGATTAAGAATAACAAAACACAAAACAGCAGATTAGCACATATCAAGCATCAAAGCTGATTAAACTGAATTCTTGTCTAAAAGAATCTCACCTCTTATCTGTTAAACCAAACTGTCTATAGAAATTTGTCAACACAAGGAGAGGCATGACTAAATATGATCTATGGATTGAAGTTAATGATAGGAACAATGTGGGCAGTAGTTCAACCTTGTAAACTGATTATCAATAAGCAATAATAGTATAGGTAGCATATAGTCACTAGCCCAGGATAAGGAAAATATTAATTAAGATTTAAGACTCCACACCATAATATCATCCCCAAGAGTCAACGTTTCAATGACTCTCAATTTACTACAGGATGAAAAAAGGGGTCAGCTTAACCCATTTGGATATGTTGAAAACAGGTTAGACTAGGTTGAATATCTTGACCTATCCTATGTAAGGGTGATTGGTGGGCTGGTAAGGAAGTATGCCAAAGAAAACAAAAAGGATAAACAAGAAAAAAAGAAAAAAGTTTAAATTATGTATTTTATAAATTTAATTTAAATAGACAAATTTAGTTAAAGTATGTAATATATATTGTGAGAAATCAAATAGTATTTTAGAAAAGAATAAATAAGGAAATTTGTATATTTCCTTGTAATCTGTACAGATTTGAATAATTAGGAACAATCCCATAAATCAAGGGATCCTAGCATAAAATAGAGTTATTATATTTCCTAAAATAGTTTAGGTCTCTTGTATATATCTTATATCATCTCTTTGTATTGAGATACTAAAATAAATCATATTTCAGTTAATCTATTTTTCCAGATGGTATCAGAGCTTCCGATCTAGGAAGCTCTGTCTGCGCTCGATAAACCCTAAGACGGCAGCCTGCATTGCTGCTGCATATTTTGTAACCCTAAGACGGCAGCTGCATTGCTGCTGCATTTTTCTTAACCCTAAGACGGCAGCCTACATTGCTTCGCTGCATTTTTCATAATCCTAAGACGACGACCTGCATTGTTGTTGCATCGCACATTTTTGCTATAATGTCAAGGGAAGAGGAGATAGAAAGGGTGAAAACCATTCTTAGTAAGCTGGAAAAACCTACAGGTATGTGTTCTTTGGCATACTCAGGTAAGTTTCCACCTTCTTTTGGATTAAATGTCTCAGATACGCCTTTTAACCATTATTGGATATTGGACTCTGGAGCCACAGGTCACATGACACCATTAGCCAAACACTTCTCCACATATTCCCCATGTCCCAGCAACAAGAAAATTGCCACAGCAGATGAAACCCTTATAACTGCAGCTGGTCAAGGAAATATCCAAATCAATCCTTTAATAACCTTAAAAGACGTTCTCCATGTCCCAAAGTTGTCCACGAACCTAGTGTCTATACAAAAACTTATAAAGGATTTGTCATGTAAAGTTGTTTTTTCCAATGATCATTGTGTATTTCAGGATAAGGATTCGGGGAGGATGATTGGACATGCTAGAGAATGGAATGACCTTTATTATCTCGAAGATCCAAGTCTGCCCAGCAAGAATAGAATCTCTCACTCCTTCATATCTGAATCCTTGATGACCAACAGAGAAAAAATCATGTTTTATCATTGTCGGTTGGGACATCCCTCTTTTGGAGTGATCAAAATTATATTTCCCTCTCTGTTTACCAAGTTAGATGTTGAGAGTCTTCATTGTGAGGTGTGTGAACTTGCTAAGCACAAACGTATATCTTTTCCAATAAGTAATAGAATTAGCAATTTCCCTTTTTATCTTGTTCATACTGATGTATGGGGACCTTCTAATATTCCAAATGTGTCTGGTACTCGATGATTTGTCACCTTTATAGATGACTGTACAAGGGTCACTTGGGTTTTCCTACTTAAACAAAAATCAAAAGTCAGTTCTGTCTTCCTAAACTTCCACTCCATGATAAAAAATCAGTTTGGTGTTAATATTAAGAGGCTTAGGTCAGATAATGCCAAAGATTACTTCAATCATGTCCTTAATTCTTTTTGTCAAAAAGAAGGTATAATTCATGAGTCCTCTTGTGTCAAAACACCACAACAGAATGGGGTCGCAGAGAGGAAAAATGGACATCTATTAAATCAGACTCGGGCATTGTTGTTCCAAAAAAGTGTCCCAAAAAATTTCTGGGGGGAAGCTGTCCTTACAACAACATACCTTATCAATAGACTACCCTCTAGAGTCTTAGGATCAAAAAGCCCTATGGAAGTTTTGTCGTCTTTCTATCCAAACTTGTCTACTACAAATAATCTTAAACCAAGAGTTTTTGGGTGCATCTCATATGTCCATATTCATAGTACAGACAAGGGAAAACTTGATCCTAGAGCCTTAAAGTGTGTCTTTGTTGGTTACTCACCCACTCAAGAAGGGTATAAATGCTACCAGCCCCCATCCAAAAAATTCTTTATGTCTAGGGATGTTACCTTCAATGAACAAGAGGGCTATTTCCATCAACCTTATCTTCAAGGGGAGAGTTTCAGGGAAGATAAGGAAAGTAGTGATTCTGGTTTTCCCATTCTTCCAGACTTGACATTTGAACCTAAACGAAATCATATTGAAAGTAGTAATTCTGGTTTTCCCATTCTTCCAGACTTGATATTTGAACCTAAACAAGATCAAATTGAAGATCAAATTGAAGTTGTAACAAATGAAACAAGTCAAGGAATTGGTCAAGCAAAGGAAGTTGGTCAAGAAAGTGAAATTAATTGTGAAGCTGATCAAGAAGATGTTGAAACTGGAAAATTTGGTAAGTTGGTGTACTCAAGGAAGACTAAGGCCATTCCAGGATCAAGCCATGTTCAAGAATCCAACTCGACTCCACAAAAAGAGGTAACAATTTTTTCTCCAGCTGTGCAGGTTGAAATTGAAACCCAAAATGATCCTGACCTCCCAATTGCCATTAGAAAAGGAACAAGAAAATGCACCAAACAGCCACTCTACCCTCTCTCAAATTACCTGTCCTTTAAAAATTTCTCTCCTACCCATAAAACCTTCCTAGTAAACCTAAACACTGTACTTCTACCTAATACCCTATCTGAGGCATTGTCTGACAGAAAATGGAGGCAAGCCATGGATGAAGAGATGGAGGCATTGGAGAAAAACAACACTTAGGAGTTAGTCACCTTACCAATAGGAAAGAGGCCAGTTGGATGTAAATGGGTCTATACAGTGAAATACAAGGTTGATGGATCAATTGAGAGATATAAGGCAAGACTAGTTGCCAAAGGGTTCACCCAAACCTATGGAGTTGATTATTTGGAGACCTTTGCTCCGGTTGCCAAAATGAACACAGTTAGGGTGATATTGTCCCTTGCTGCCAATTATGGTTGGAACTTGGAACAATTTGATGTTAAGAATGCTTTCCTACATGGAGACCTTGAAGAAGAAATCTATATGGAGATACCTCCGGGATATGGTAAAGATGTTGCTACCAACACTGTTTGCAAGTTGAAAAAGGCATTATATGGGTTAAAACAGTCCCCCCGTGCATGGTTTGGCAGGTTTACTAAAGTTATGACAGGTCTGGGTTACAAACAAAGCCAAGGGGACCATACTTTGTTTTTTAAACATTCCAAGTCAGGAGGAGTAACAATATTATTGGTATATGTGGATGACATAATATTAACTGGAGATAATAAAGAAGAGCAACAATTATTGAGTCAATGCTTAGGCAAGGAATTTGAGATCAAGACTTTGGGAAAACTAAAATATTTTTTGGGAATTGAAGTTGCCCACTCCGAGAAAGGGATATTTATATCTTAGCAGAAATACATCACTGATTTGCTCAAGGAAACTGGCAAGGCAGCTTGCAAACCTGCTAGTACCCCATTAGAACCAAACCTAAAGCTTGGAAATACAGAAGAAGATGTTGCTGTTAAAAAAGATATGTACCAAAGATTAGTGGGCAGACTTATATATTTGTCACATACCAGGCCAGATATTGCCTATGCAGTGAGTTTAATTAGCCAATTTATGCATAGCCTAAAGGAGACCCATTTACAAGCTGCCCACAAAATTTTACAGTACCTTAAAGGAACTCCAGGAAAAGGGATTCTATTCAAAAGGAATGGTAATGTGAAACTTGAAGCCTATACTGATGCTGATTATGCAGGGTCAATTGTGGATAGGAGGTCAACTACGGGATATTGCACCTTTCTTGGAGGAAATCTTGTGACTTGGAGAAGCAAAAGCGAGGTGTAGTGGCTCGATCCAGTCGTTGAAGCAGAATTCCGAGCCATGGCACAAGGTATATGTGAGTTGCTATGGCTTAAAATCATCTTAGAAGACTTGAGGATAAAGTGGGAAGAACCTATGAAGCTCTATTGTGATAATAAGTCAGCAATCAGTATAGCCCACAACCCAGTGCAGCATGATAGAACAAAGCATATTGAAGTAGACAGACACTTCATCAAAGAAAAGCTTGATAGTGGCTTGATATGCACTCCATATGTGTCCTCTCAAGACCAAATTGCAGACATTCTTACCAAGGGACTGGGCTGCCATAATTTTGAGAAGATTGTATCCAAGCTGGGAATGGAAAACATCTATTCACCAGCTTGAGGGGGAGTGTGAGAAATCAAATAGTATTTTAGGAAAGAATAAATAAGGAAATTTGTATATTTCCTTGTAATCTGTACTGATTTGAATAATTAGGAACAATCCCATAAATCAAGGGATCCTAGCATAAAATAGAGTTATTATATTTCCTAAAATAGTTTAGGTCTCTTGTATATATCTTATATCATCTCTTTGTATTGAGATAATAAAATAAATCATATTTCAGTTAATCTATTTTTCCAGATATATTAATAATTTAGTTTAGTCTTTTTTTTTTTTTGGATATTCATTATCATTATTAGAGAAATTGACCTTTTAAATAAACTCACAATAATACCAAACTGATATTTTGATTTTTTAAGTACAATAAAATCTTTAAAAAATACATTGTAAGAACTTAATTTTTACATTTTTCATTTAAACAAGAACCTTTGGCGGGCTAGGCAATGGTTGGCTGATAGTAGCCTACCATTATTTTGTGAGTAAGTGGGTCGTTCCGCCCGACCCAACTCATAGTTTAGGGCACTTTAATTGGTGATGCTTCACTTAATTTTTTTTTATGGTCACAACCCTCCACATATAGGACTTTCCAAGACATCGACAACTAACTTGATATCATTAGAAAGCACGCAAGCACTTGCGGAACTCACCTTAAAAGCCAGCTACTGAGGGGGGTGAAACAAATATTTAAATATTTCATCAAATATCCATGATATTCGATGTGAGATTTAGGCATCCCATAATATCCAAGTCTTTATGAAAAACACTTGTTGGCTGAAGAATTACTAAGAAAACAGTGTAAGATGTATTCTCTACTCACATAACAGATGAATATTTGCATATCCAAAATATATACAATCATTTACAAGAACTATAAGAAGGATATGTCAGAAATCAAATGTGTGCAATTCTTTGTCAATTCTGCGGAGTATTTTCCACCATTTTGTAAAATAAGCTTCTCCATCTCTTTACGGACATCTGAAAAATTCCAAGCACATTAGCATCCAACAAAAAAGCATTCTATTATGACCAACATTAGCAGATAGCTAAGTTACAACCTGCTGGAATTCCCGTAACACAAATCTTTAACCCAGAGAAAGGAAGGACCTTGTATGACTCTTGAGGAACAACACGATGCTCCTCTGAGCATTGTTTTAACCATTCATACGTGACTATTGGTTTCTTCAATTCATTCAAAGCCCACTGTCAAACATAAAGCAACGAATTAGATAGTATAACATGAACATAAGTTCAATACGGCAATTAAACCACCACAAGATTGAATAAGACAGTCTAACTGGTTTTCTGAATTATAACCCATTCAGAATACAAGTTGAATATTTAGAAAAGGATGGTGAATTTTTAAAATCAGCATATATTCATGATCCAATCAATCAGATACAACAACAAACAGAACAGGAGCTCTATTAGGAACCACTGATGCCACCAACAGTTTGGAAGCTAAATCATGCTCAAAACAAGGAATGAGTACCAAACAATAATTTATATTTTATTCTACATTGAAACAATATATCAAAATTCCTTGAAGACTGAGTCTTGAATATGGAAAAGAGCATTAGTTGAATTTGTTGAAAACTAGAATATATTTCTAATTTAGAGGAAACAATCTCCTTAATTTAGGCATAGATAGTGTAATAATAAGCCTATAGAAATTTGCATCTGTTGTGTATTCAAACATACAATTTCAGCTTAACCAAGTATATGTTTCTCTCTCTCACTTCTAACATGTCTATGTTGCATGTAATTATTGTTGTTAGGTCTAGTGGACCAATCACAATTTTGTCATTATCGTACCACATGCAGATGCCCAAGATGTCTAATCTGGATGAGGAGGGTGTTAGAGATTCCACATCAATTATAGCCAAATTAAAAGATTATAAGTGGGCCCTCACTTTACAAACTGATTTTGTGGGGTTAAAGTAAACCTAAACCCTAATTCTAAGTTGGTATTAGATTTCCATCTCATTACAATAGTACTCTCTCCCATGGCCAAAATGACTTTTGTTTGACTACTATTCTCCATGGTTACTCATCATTGGCCACTCTGCCACAAAGAATCACATTCAAGCCAAAAAAATAAATTCACCCCTTAGCATAAGCTACTTATATAGGAATATCGATCCCATCAATTCTGCATATAATAAGGCACTTTGAAACCCAGGAGGAGCAACAAAACTTCCCAACAAAGTAGCCAAACCATCTCTATACCAACTCCACAAGCAGCTAGATCAGGAAATCCTATTGCAGCTCCAACTGGGTGAATTTAATCTAGCACCAAGGAGTTGGTTTCTAGTCAATCTGAACTATCCTATTTGTCTTCCTTGGATAGCCAGAGACAGCAAATTCTTTAAGGATAGTAATGTTTTCTACGATGTTGTTCCTGTAGCTGGAACATACTGATCCTGGAAGATTAACGAATGAAAAAAAAATCTATACTTAGTCAAGCATGCTATTTTCAATTCCAAGCTAGTTGCTGAAGACCAAATTACATTCATAATGGAAAGGCTAAAATATACATTTGGTCCTTTATGTTCTGGGCTATGTTCAGTTTGGGTCTTTATGTTTTAAAAAATTCAAAATAGTCCCCAATATTTTCAAGTATAAAGGAAACAGATGATGTGGCATTGTAATTTAGTGGCTCGTAATAACTACTTCTTGAATTTGGAAAGACTTGGTCTTTGAGTTTCTTTAAAACAAAGAAAAGGACAACTGAGAGAACTGAAGTGTCATTCAGCTAGGTTATTAGACTCGAGAGTCTACGTAGACTCGTGAGAGATCGGTAAACTCGACTCGTAGACTCATAGAATTAATAATATTAATTCTTCATTATTAAAATAATAAAAAAATAATTGAATTTATACAACAGTATAATCAAAATAAAAAAAAAAAAATCTTGAATGTCTAAAATCTTTTCATATATTCAAAATCCTAAAATCCCAAATCCTTCAATCCTTGAATCTAACCTATCCTATTTATTCGAAAATCCTAAAATCTCAAATCCATTCATTCCTCAATCTAACCTAGAGGGCGGTGAGCAACTGCAAGGAGCGCAACCACTGTTCGATCTAGGTGAACATCGCGCAACCACCGTGCAACCATCACGCAACCCAAGTGAATGTGCACGATCCAAACAAGCATCGCGTGACCACCGACGATAAGCAACGACGAACAACAGGAAGGAACGAGATCTAAACTTGTGAGAAGAAATGAGGAGTCGAAAAAAATTCAAGTTTTTCTTTTTCTTCAAACTTGCTGACTCACCTCTAATTCGCGACTTTACTCAGAGTCCACCGAGTTTGACTTCGAGTCTACTCTAAAACAAGTCTACTCACGAGTTGACTCGTACCTGGTTATTTGACTCGTTAACTCATACGAGTTAGCGAGTTAACTCGCGAGTTTGATAACCATGACTATGACATTGAACAAGGGTTTATGCAATTGAGGATTTATTCATTTGATCTTGTGCAACAATAAAGCAACAATGATGCATCCTTTATTCCTCAAAATCAAGGGAAGTCCTTATCAAATCATAGGAAATATAAGAGGCTGATTGAAAAATTTGAATTATATACACCCATCTAGATATTGCCTTTGTTGTGACTATGATGAATAATTCTTGAACTTAGGGATGAGAAAGCAAACCCAACCCAACCTAGAATTGATAAACCAAATTTATTTTGGGTGGGTTAGAGCAAGTTAACAAGTTAAATGAGTTTTAATAACAGTTTCACACAGTTTGGAACTATCAAGTTTAGTTTGGCTTATTTGCATTGTTGGTAACCAAGCCTTCCTGACTCAGTTGCATTGACAAAAGGTACGGCCTTAGGCTCATTTTTGTTTGGTTGAAGGGAGAAAGCCCAACTCCCTCACACAGACAAAATATCCTAAGGAATATGGCCTTTGATTACATATGAGAAGGGTCCAACGTTTGTTCATTAACCCTAATTCCTAAGTTAGAATCACCCTTACCCTAGTAGATGTTAGAAGCAAGAACGACCCCAAGAAATTGCAACTTTAGAAATAAGAACGCAACAGTTTCTTTTAACTTTTGTATCTCTCATACACCCACCATTGCACCAGATGATGCAATAAACATGGCCTCACACCTCCTTTTCTCCTCCCTTCCTTTCTCTATCAACCATTCCTGAGTTCTCCACCACACATTTTGACCACTCTGTGTGCCTTCTACCATTCTTTTCGCAACTACTTCTCAACTCTCCCCTTCGAGGGGCTACCAAAAATTACATTGTTGGTGTGTTGCACATGGTTTGAGGTGTTATGGCCAGTGTAGAAGGCCATGGTTCTACTCTGCTAGGGAAAGCCCTTCAATCATGGTTTTTGTGACATCTGTCCCAACATAAAAAAGGCACTCGATTTGTTTATTAAACTACCCTCACCATAGTTGATATTGGCCTTGTTTGCTAGGAGAGAGGGGAGAATCCCACCCCACCCCACCCCAACAGCTTAAACTAAACCCAACCCAACCCGAAATGCTTCTAGGAGATCACAAAGAAAAACCTATTGATTAGTTTGAATTGGTATTTCTAGGCTTGTGATTGATTAAACCTGCCTACGGTCAACTCTACTTGAACTCTCCTTACTTAGATCATTAGGATGTGATAATTCAGATATCAAAGTACATTAAAAGTTCTCTAGGTAAAGGTTGCACTAATGAAGATAGGGAGCATGCTCAAAGAGTTAGCTACTTCGATGCCAACTAGGTTGATTCACCTAATGATAGACAAGCTACTTCTAGGTAATATGTGCGAATCGAGGAAATTTGGTATCTTGAAAAAGTAAAACACAAAATTTGTGTCAAGATCTAGTGTTGAAGCAAAATAAAGGATAGGGACTTTAGTCATATGCCTAAAACAACATCTCATACTGCTTAAGTTTGAAGAAACAACACAAATGACATTGAGTTGTAATAATAAAGCAGATTTACATAGTTTCTCTAATCTAGTTTTTTCATGAGAGGACCAAACAAATAGAGGTTAATTGCCATTGATCAAGATAAAGATCAAGTATAGAAATATTGTCACAAGCTTCGTCAACTCAATTGACCATGTCTTCATCAAGTCCTTGAGGGGACTGAGAATTGCCCATGTATTTAATTAGTTGGATGCATATGATTTATATGCTCTAACATGATGCATTGTTAAAAAACAGAACAGTATAATCTATGTTTATTGTAATAATAGAAGTTTATAGGCACGTAATCTCTAATTTGATATTCTCTATTTATGTATAATTAATGTAATAGACCTATGTTGTGTTTTCAAACACAATTTTATGAGAGAAGGTGTTGAAGTATTTATTAGATTAAATGTATCTTGTTGGACATTTATGAGATTAGTTGTAGATCTAGTTCCTAGAATGCATCTGTTTATCTTCTCTAGGATTAATCATGTCTCTCTATTAATTGTATCTCTGAATCTGTATTTTTATCTCCTATAAATAAGAGAACACAAGAAGATGATTTTAGGCTCTCAAAATCAGTTCTTTATTTTCTTTTTTCTATTTCAAGTTGGTATCAGAGCGGGTTCATCCTGCTCTGCCTGTCTCTGTTTTTTTTCTGGCATTAATCGCCGTTCACCGCCGTCCGCCGCCAGTGTTGTCTTCTCCGGCGCCTTTTTCCTCTCTGATACTTGGGTTTGGCTCGCCTCGAGGAGCGCGACCCAACCCCAGTGTTCACTTCCTCTATCTCTGCCTCACGCGCCGCCACGCGCCACCCTCGTCCGCGGCTTCCTCCGCGCGTGGGCCTCACGCGTCGCCCTCTCGGTGGCTGTTTTGTTCCAGGCCACCTCTATCCGGCTCACCTCGTCGCCCTGGTGCCAGATCTACACTTTGTTTTGTGTTCTCGGTCACAAAACGTGGTGGGTCTGCGTTTTTCTCTCTGCCTCTCTCGGTCCTCTCTCTGACAGCACGCTGGTCCCTTCTCGTTTCCTGGAAAATGTCAGGATCTGTGTCTGTATCTTTTTCTGGGACTCCGACTATAACCATAGAAAAATTAAATGGGAAAAATTATTTATCTTGGGCTTCCTCTGTTGAACTCTGGTTTCTAGGTCAAGGAGTTCATGATCATCTAGAAGAAGATGGAAGTACTATACCAGCAGATCAGGCTCCTCAATGGAAGAAACTGGATTATCAACTTTGTGCACTATTATGGCAATCTGTTGAACCACATATTTTGAGCACTCTTCGAGCCTTTAAGACATGTAATTCTTTTTGGAAAAAGGCTCAAAATATCTTTGCTAACGATATTCAACGACTTTATGATTCTGCTAATAGACTAGCCTTCCTTAAGCAAGAGGATAATTCCATGATGTCCTTTGTTGCTGAAGCTCAGTCAGCTGTTGAAGAATTAAAAATGTTCCTGGAGGCAGAATCATTAGAAGAAAGGAAGACGAAGCTGGATAAATTCTATATGGTAATGATTCTTAGGGCTATGAATCCAGAGTTTAATCATGTTAGAGACCAGATTCTAACTGGAGAAGAAGTTCCTTCTACGGAGAGTTTAATCACAAGGCTACTTCGTGTTCCTTCTATCAAAAGCAAAAACAGTCAGGAACTTGTTGATTCTTCCGCCATGATTTCTGCTCGTGGAAGAGGTAATCACAGCTCTAGAGGACGTGGTGGGAAAGGACGTCCTCAGTGCTCTCAATGCAAAAGAATGGGACATACTAAGGAAAATTGCTTTGCTCTTCACGGCTTTCCTGATAAGGCAGCTAATACCTCAAAATCTGAAGTTGATGAGCCCAAGTTCTCTCATGAAGAGTATCAAGAATATTTAAGGATGAAATCAACCAATTTGGCTCAAGCATCTACAACACCAAATTCGTCAACCGCTTGCATTTCACAATCTGTGGAAAGTCAAAATCCATGGATTATTGACTCAGGTGCTTCTGACCACATGTCTGGTAATACCTCTTTATTTTCCTCTCTTTCATTTCCTAAAACATCCCATCTCATATCTTTAGCTAATGGATCTAAAGTAGCCTCTAAAGGAATTGGTCAAGTATCCATCTCTTCTTCTTTAAACCTTCAAAATGTTCTTTGTGTTCCTTCTTTTCCATTCAGTCTTGTTTCTGTAAGCCAATTAACCAAATCATTGAATTGCTCAGTAACCTTTAATGCCAATTGTTTTGTTATCCAGGAACGTGGTACGGGTCGACTGATTGGAGAAGGACATGAATCTGGAGGCTTATACTACCTTAGGACTAAGTCATCTGTATCTTGTGTTGCGTCTTTATCCCCAAAACTGTTACATGAGCGATTAGGGCATCCTCATTTAGCAAAATTGAAAAAAATGGTTCCTGAACTTCAGAACCTTCAAACTCTTGAATGTGAATCCTGTCAACTAGGGAAACATACCAGGTCATCCTTTCCAAATCATTCTGAATCTAGATGTGATTCTGCTTTTAGTATTGTTCATTCAGATATATGGGGACCTAGTCGTGTTTCATCTTTTGGTTTTAGATATTTTGTTACTTTTATTGATGGGTTTTTTAGATGTACTTGGGTTTATCTTATGAAAGATCGTTTTGAACTATTGCTTATCTTTAAGTCTTTCCTTAATGAAATCAAAACTCAATTTGGAAAAGTAATCAAAGTTTTACGAAGTGATAATGCCAAAGAGTACTTTTCTAATGATTTTTCTAATGTCCTAAATTCTCAAGGCATTTTACACCAGTCCACGTGTCCTCACACACCACAGCAAAATGGTAAAGCAGAACGAAAAAATAGACATTTGGTTGAAACTGCTCGTACCTTATTGCTGGGTGCCAATATGCCTATTCATCATTGGAGAGATGCTATTCTAACTGCATGCTTTCTCATTAATAGAATGCCATCTTCTTCTCTTGATAATAAAGTTCCACACTCTATTTTATTTCCAAAGGAACCAATTTTTCATGTTTCTCCTAGGGTATTTGGATGTATATGTTTTGTTCATGACATGTCTCCTGGCTTAGATAAACTCTTACCTAGAGCTATCAAATGTGTCTTCTTGGGGTATTCTCGTCTTCAAAAAGGATATCGGTGTTATTCTCCTGAAACCAAGAGGTACTACATGTCTGCTAATGTCACCTTTTTTGAATCATCATCCTTCTTCCCTTATTCTATGCAGGATATTGATTCTGTCCAAAATGTGCTTCCTGTTCCCTTAGTTGAATCAGTTGTACCTCCTATTTCTGACCAAAATACTCTAGAATCAGCATCACAGCCTATCATCACCTATCAACGCAGGAACCAGGTGAACAATCCCATTCCCCAAGATGAGCCATCCATAACAGGTCCTTCACCATCATCCTCTAATACCACGGCTCCTGATAACGATGATTCCAGTTGGCCCATTGCCATTCGCAAAGGTACTCGTTCTACTCGTAATCCTCATCCCATTTACAATTTTCTTAGTTATCATAGATTGTCTCCTTCCTATTGTTCTTTTATTTCCTCTGTCTCCTCTATTACAATTCCCAAAAATGTGGTCGAAGCGCTTGATCATCCTGGATGGCGACAAGCCATGATTTCTGAAATGCAGGCTCTTGATCACAGCAAAACTTGGGAGCTTGTTCCTCTCCCTTCGGGAAAGAAAACAGTTGGTTGTCGTTGGATCTATGCTATTAAAGTTGGGCCCAATGGTCAGGTTGATCGTCTTAAAGCAAGGTTAGTGGCTAAAGGGTATTCTCAAATATATGGACTTGATTATTGTGATACTTTTTCTCCAGTAGCCAAAATGACCACTGTCCGCCTGTTCCTTGCCATGGCCGCCATTCGTCATTGGCCTCTTCATCAATTGGATATTAAAAATGCTTTTTTGCACGGTGACTTAGAAGAAGAAGTTTACATGGAGCAACCTCCTGGATTTGTTGCTCAGGGGGAGTCTGGTTTGGTTTGTAAATTACGTCGATCCCTCTATGGCCTAAAACAATCTCCACGGGCTTGGTTTGGAAAATTCAGCTCTATTGTTCAAGCTTTTGGATTAAAACGCAGTGAAGCAGATCATTCAGTGTTTTATTGTCACACTGCCCCTGGCAAACATGTTTATTTAATTGTGTACGTTGATGATATTGTCATCACAGGGAATGATGCTGCTAAAATATCTCAGTTAAAAGAGCACTTGAGTAGTCATTTTCAGACCAAGGATCTTGGAAATCTAAAATATTTCTTGGGTATTGAAGTAGCTCAATCAAGAGAAGGTATTGTCATCTCTCAAAGGAAGTATGCTCTAGATATTCTAAAAGAGACAGGTATGATTGATTGCAAACCTGTGGACAGTCCTATGGATCCAAATTTGAAGTTAATGGCAGGACAGGGTGAAGTTTTCTCTGACCCAGAAAGATATAGAAGACTGGTTGGGAAACTTATTTATTTGACGATTACTAGACCTGATTTGTCTTTTGCAGTTGGTGTTGTCAGCCAATTTATGCAAGCTCCTTGTGTGGATCATTGGAATGCTATCATTCGAATCTTAAGATACATTAAAAAAGCTCCAGGACAAGGATTATTATATGAAGACAAGGGAAATACCCAAATTTTTGGGTACTGTGATGCTGACTGGGCTGGATCTCCTATGGATAGGCGTTCCACTACAGGCTATTGTGTTTTCATTGGAGGAAATATCATTTCATGGAAAAGCAAAAAGCAAAACGTTGTTGCCCGATCCTCTGCTGAAGCTGAATATAGGGCAATGGCGTCTCTTACTTGTGAACTTGTTTGGGTAAAACAATTCTTGCAAGAATTGAACTTCTGTGAGATTCAATCTATGAAGATGTATTGTGATAATCAAGCTGCTCTTCACATTGCTTCCAACCCAGTATTTCATGAGAGGACCAAGCATATTGAGATTGACTGTCATTTTATTCGGGAGAAATTGTTGACTAAAGAAATTTGTACTGAGTTTGTTGGTTCCAATGAGCAGCTTGCAGATGCATTAACAAAATCTTTGAGAGGACCTCGAATGGAATTCATTTGTTCCAAGCTTGGTACATTCAATTTGTATGCTCCAGCTTGAGGGGGAGTGTTGAAGTATTTATTAGATTAAATGTATCTTGTTGGACATTTATGAGATTAGTTGTAGATCTAGTTCCTAGAATGCATCTGTTTATCTTCTCTAGGATTAATCATGTCTCTCTATTAATTGTATCTCTGAATCTGTATTTTTATCTCCTATAAATAAGAGAACACAAGAAGATGATTTTAGGCTCTCAAAATCAGTTCTTTATTTTCTTTTTTCTATTTCAAGTGAAGGTTTTATGAGTAGGTGACAAGTGTTTAAAAGATAGGTAATTGGCTAGAGTGTATCATGGCTTGGTGGTACATTTTCTAGTCTCTTTCCTAAGAGCAATTGGAATGTCTAGATCCTCATAAGTTGGTGAATTGGACTCAGGTTTCTGTGCAGTTGAGAAATCAGAGATAGATTCACTAGAGTTTACAGGATTAGGAAAAATAGTTACCTCATGTAATGTTGGATTGGATTCATGGACATGGATAGATTCTAGAATGGCCTTTGTCTCCTTGTATAAACAAGATTTTTTCCAAATCTTACATCATCCTCATCTTGAGTGCATTTAGTGGTTCAGTGGCTTGAACCTCTTTCTCTAATTTTGTTTCATTTTCAGTCCCTACTTCTGGTCCAAGAGTGAAGTCAAAAGGCATTAGCGGAAGATCATCTTCCTTTCTTATACTCTCCCCTTGAAGATGACCAATGTGAAAGTAACTTTGTTGATGAAGAATAGTGACATCTCTAGATATAAAGAATTTTTTGGATGGTGGGTGATAACATTTATAGCCCTTTTATGTGGATGAGTATCCTACAAAGACACATTTTAAGGCTCTAAGATCAAGTTTTCCTCTAGCACCATTACAAACATGGACAAATGATACACACCCAAATATTCTTGGAACAAGATTATTTGATGTGCCACATTGGGATAGAAAGAGGAAAGAACCTCCATAGGGCTTTCTAAGGCTAGAACACTAGAAGGTAATCTATTAATTAGAGAACATGATGTTAGAATAACTTCTCTCCAAAAGGATATAGGAACCTTATGCTGAAAAAGAAGAGTCCAAGTTTGGTCAAGTAAGTGCCATTTTTCCCTTTAGCAATTCCATTTTGTTGGGGTGTTTTCACACAAGACGACTCATGAATGATACCCTCCTTACGACAAAAGAAATTGAGTTCATTCTTAAAGTAATCTCTGGCATTATTGGATCTAATCCTCTTAATGCTAATTCCAAACTGGTTTTTTACCATTGTGAAAAAATATTGAACAACAGAGTTGACTTCGGATTTGTTTCTAGTAGGAAAATCCATGTAACCCTAGTACAATCATCTATGAAGGTAAGGAACCAACGAACCAAATACATTTAGGATGTTTGAAGGTCCCCACACATCATTATGAATTAAATAGAAAGAAGAACTGCTCATTTCATAACTAACTAGAAAAGGTACACATTTGTGTTTAGCAAGTTCACACACATCATAATGAAAACTCTCCACATCTAATTTATTAAAGAGGGAAGGAAATAACAATTTTATGACTCTAAAGGAAGGATGAACAAGACGACAATGGTGTAGAAGGACCTTCTCCCTGTTGGTCTTCATTAAATCAAAAGAGGAAAAATTGTTGTTGTTGTGTAAGTTTGGGAGCAGATTTGAGTTGTTCAAATAAGAGCGATCATTTCATTCTCTAGCATGTCTAATCATCTTCCCAGTGTGCTTGTCTTGCAGCATACAAACATTATCACAAACTACAACATTACATGATAGGTCTTTTATGAGCTTTATAATGGAAATCAGATTAATGGACAGTTTGGGAATATAAAGGACATTTTTAAAGGTTATGGACGAGTTTATTTGAACTTCTCCTTATCCTGCTACAGTGATAAGAGTGTCATCTATTGTGATTATTTTCTTTTTGCTAAGGCAAGGGGGTGTCATGTGGTCAGTGGCACCTGAATCTAGTATCCAATATTGGTTATAGAATCTATTTGAGACATCGAATCCAAAAACAAAAGGAAACTTTCCACACTATCTAATGCTAAAGAACATGGACCTGTTGACTTATCCAATTTGTTGAGAAATGATCTCATCTTCTCTATTTCATCTTGATTGAGTTAAATAAATTCTCCTTTGTTTTCTTCACTGGTTCCAGTAGCTATGTGCGTTTGTCTTCCCTTTCTTATGTTGTCTCCTTTTTTTCCCACCTTCTTGTCTCGGTTTTGGGGGCTCAATCTTTACTAGGTGGCTTTCCACGCAAATTTCAATATTTTTCATGAATGTGACGAGGCTTGTTGCAATAGGTACACCACACTCCTTCGCCTTTGTTCTCAATGTTGATTGTTTACCCTTTTTTCTAGTTTTTTATCTTGGTTGAGGCACCACTGGCTACCATGGCTGAGTTCTCCACAACTGGAGTTTCTAGCATTAATCCCTTTCTACTTTCTTCACTTCTGACCATAACCACTACTTCATTAATTCCATGAACTTTTTCTTTTCCAAGGATTTGAACTCTCACCTGATCAAAATCAGAGTTAAGCCCTACCAGAAAATCATAGACTCTATCCAACTCAATATATTATTTGAGCATTGTTGAATCTGCTGAACACTTGCCTTTTATGACCCTATAATGGTCTAACTCCATCGACAATGATTTTAGTTTATTGGCATACTCTATAACAATCTTGTTTCCATGTTTTGCAGCCACAGTTTTCACATCATATATTTGGTCAACACCTTTAGCTTTGGAGTAAGTCTGCTCTATAGCATTCCATACCTTTGTAGAATTAAGAAACATGCAAGTATCACTGATTCTTGGAATCATTGAGTTCCACAGTCAAACCATAATCATAGAGTCTTCTTCTTCCTATTTTGTAAATTTGGGATCTTCCTCTTTAGGGGCATCATAAGTCAAGTGGTTGGCTTTCCCTTTACCTTTCAAAGTAGTACAAACAAGCTGAGACCATTTCAAGTAATTTTGCCCATTCAATCTATAGGCAGTGTTGAGATTTTGAAGTTCAGTTGTTGTATCAATTGAATCCACCATGGCAGCAGTAAAACAAGGTGCAAGGAATAACAAGTTAAATTACGACAATAATGAAGGTTACCTTTAAAGTGATGATCGACAATAATGAAGGTTATCAATTAGGGTTTTAAGATGAGCAACAACAATGAAGGTTGTCGTCTAGGATTTTGGTTTGTGCAGTCAAAGGTGGCTTCTAGAATTTTGAGAGCTCAGATACCATCTCAAATATTAGGGTAGAATTGAATGATTTTATTGCTAAAATACATTAGTCATGTATACAAGATTGGAAAGCTAAATTAGGAAATACAATAACAACACTTAAATAATTGGATCCCTATAAATCAGGGATATTTCCATTCTTTAATTGTAATTTTCTAAATAAAGAAGTAATAAAATGAGGTTGTTGACAGTCCTAAATATAGACCTGATATTGAGCTTGAACAGAATAAATAGTACTTTCTAAGTAAGCTATTATCAAAGCTAATGATCACCAAATATGTCCAAATTGCTAGCTATTAAATACCCTCTTCAACAAATGTCAAGTATTGACGTAGCTCTTTCAGTTAACTTTAACATGCACAACTGTATACAATTCCCCGTTTTGCTTGTGTGGAACATTTATCCATGTAGGGAGGGGATGACAACAAGATGGAAGATAGAATAGAATGCATAAGCTGATAAGGAACCTGAATAAAACACTATGTAATAAGACAAAAAGAAAAATTTGCTAGCTTGCAACAAAATTTACACAATAACATGTGTTTGTGCGTTCAAATAATTAAAAATAAATTAGAAATATGGGATAAAAACTTGTTGTACCAGACCTTGTACTTTGCAGCTAATACATTTTTCACAATGACAAAGTTCAAATCCAATGATGTTTTAGTGTGTAGGACTCCTCCCATTTCAGCCACTAACTCTTCTATCTTAACCTGCAAGATCACATACATTAAGTAGTGGAAATTGAGATTAAAAAAAAAAAACAAAAGGAAAGGAGGAGTAAAGGAGACGACAACAAACAACAAAAAAGTTTTATCCCACTAGGTGATATCAGCTGCATGGATCACATGATGTCACAAAGCTAAATTAAAGAACAAATTCCTAGAAATTTTATTCACCATGAGACCCATCTTCAAAAAATTATCCTATGACCTTGGTGTTGCCCTCTCCCCATTTTCACATGATTAAAAACTATACAATCTACTCTACTCACTAAAGTAACCTTCTTTGCACATGTCTAATCTACTTTAAAATTATTGCCATCTTTTCTTTAATTGTTACTTATCATACCAATACCCTCCCATATATAATAACTTAGTACCATGCCTTTCATTGTGTCACGACAGATCCATCTTCACATTCTCATTTCTTTATTCCCACTCTTCTCTCTTGTCCCTTTAAAACACAATACTCACCACCATAGAATATAACTAAACATACAATAGGACAATAAAACTTTCCTTTGAATTTGGTTGGTACTTTACAATCACAAAATAATCATTGATGTCTCTTTCCCCTTTAACCATTTAACTTGTACTACTTGTGTTTCAATTTTGTTATTTTCCTCATCATTTTTTTGTAATTTTGATCCCATATAATTAAACTTAGTGTTGATTATATGAATTGATTTAAATATGGAGATATGATATGATTGGATAAGGAATTGTATCTCTTCTTCATTATAAATAAAGAGTATGGGTGAGTAGAAATCAGACAATCACAAGCAATCCTCTCTAGATGTTTCCCTTATTCCATGTGAAAAACTCATAGCAACTGCCACCTACACTTGGAATGATGCTATCCCCTTGACCACCAAAATCATGAAGGTTGGAAGTAGATTGACACCTCTCTATGTAGTGTTCTCTGGTTTTCCCTTTCTCCCAACATCCAAGCACAATGCCAAGCTTTTAATGCTTGTGTTGATGTGGGGACAAAGGGCAAGAAATTTTATTCAATGATGTTCTTCGTCTTACAATGTCCTCAATAATTTAATGAACACTAAATTGGAAAACATGCACATGCAAACATACATTGGTAAACTTGATCGCCTCATTGCATAATATTACACTTTTTTGCCCATTGCTAATGATGCAGGGACATTTCAGAACCAACAAGGACTATTCTTCACGGTTGTTGCTTTTGCTAGACTACCACCTGATCTTATTGAACTCAGATTTTATCAGGACCCATTACTCCTACCGATGACATAGTACAAGAGCACTTGTTGCGTCTCTCCTCTACACATACTTTTGAATCCTCTTCAAATCTACCGGGATTCCTTTGTCATTGTCTCATTATGGAGAACATGTTGGGGGTACATAGTGGTCATGGACATGGTCTTCATTGCAACTTCTGTAAGAATTGGAAACATATTGAAGAAGAGTGGTGAAGCAAACTAAGGGAGCAATCCAAATTAGTCAATGTGGCCCCAATTCACGACTCCAGCCTCTAATATTACTATCTTTGTTGTTAAATATAACGAGCTTCTCCAACATGGTGCAACTTATAAAGCTCCCATACTCATTACCATTGTGACATGGTCTAGTAATTTTGTAGCCTTCATTTCTTAGTCCCACTCTCCTAGACCTTGGATATGACTGGTAACCAAACTCTTTTCTCTTCCTTGACTTTGTTGGACACTTTTCCCTAACATTTTGTCTTATTTGTTTGTAATTGTTCATTTAATTCAATGTCCATTAGTAAACTCACTTGCACTCTTAACTTAATATACCTATCTTGTTTGCTAGTAACTTTGTACACATTGGATAGATGATTGGAGTAGAACATGAGTTTCGAGGATCATATCAACTCACAGCTAGAGTTGCCTATGTCACCTCTACCTTGCTCTTGAACATCAACATCTTGAGCAACCAAGCGTCAGTGTGGCGAAATTGCATTTACTTCTTCATTTTTCCAGTTTTAAGTCATTTCAATGTGACTCATCAATTAGGTAAACACACTCATACTAGTTATGGTCCTTGTGTTAATATTCATTTTCGAACAACTTTTGCTTTAGTTTTAGTTATGGGCCCCAATTGACCTTGTTCAACATTGGGATATTTATATTTTGTTACATTTATAGATGAATTTTCTTGTTTGAATTGTTCTAATGAAAAATCATATTTGGCTTGTTAATTAGAATTTTACAAATTGACAATGCAAAAGTATATTGATCCTCCCAATTTCCGTATTTTCTAAACTCACAGGAGACTCTTCATTAGACATCATGTGCCTATATACCACAACATAGCATATAAACGAGTGGAAACCTCACTTCACAAAGTCGGTTTTGTGAGGTTGAGTTAAACCTCGTAATAAGAGGATGTTGGAAAACTCACATGGACTATAAATATGGCTAAACTATAATATCTAAGTGGATGACACTTCACCTTGCAAACCGATTTGTGAGGTTGGTTTAGAGTTAAAGTCAACTTTCTAAGATACTCTTCTTCATTGTAATGTCCCACAACATTTTTTGGAAGATGTTATTCTTATTGCATGTCGTCTGACTAACTGCATGCCCTTATTGGTTCTAAACAATCAGGTTCTTTATTCTATCTTTAATACAAAAGGGAACTTCATTAGTTCATACAAATCTACTGTTTTCCTTAGTTTATTTTTAACAAGCTTATACATCTTACGTTCTCAATTCTTTGTTCCAATATCCAGATAAAATGAAATTAGCACTACATTGTAATTTTTAATTATCTTCCTTATATATATTTTCTTGAAAGTCATATTTATATCCCTTGAGAAATCACTACTTGGCTCTTAGATTAGTTACTTGTTGAATTTCCGGGCTCTTGATACGAACATCCATGATCAAAATAATTGACAACAGATGCAGCTGAAGCACAATGATAACATTTTAATGAAGACTACAAAAGCCATAAACAACATAGAGAATGAACACAACAAAATTTGACAAGTTAATGAAAAAAAAAGGGGAGGCAAGATGGAAACTATGAATGGAACTTAGCCACAAATAGTGACAATATTTAAGTCAAAAGTTGCTTATATTCAATAAATTTTCTCATAATTTTGATTCTTTTAAGAAAGTATTTAATCCAAAGAGAGACATGTTGCAGCTCTGGGTAATGCTGACAGAGAAAATGAGCCAAAAAGACTGTTGTCAAAATTGAATATATAATCACAATCTACTGCCGGTATCCAATTGAGGCAACCTCTGACTTTGGTTGTTGAGATTGTAAGTGTTGTGCACTTTAGTCCTTCACTTTACACAATTTTCCCACTAGTCCTAAACTGTACAAAATGTAGTAAAGCATCTTAACCCCTATTGCCAGTGGGGGAAAAAAAACTAGTGAAGAAGAAAATAGTACAAAATTTTGAAACATTTCTCAAATTCAGGGATGGAATTGAATCGAAACTTTATTAAACTCGGGGTAAATAAATAGTGCTCACAATCATAACCAAACTAAAGATTTACTACTAATTAAAATAGGAACATACAAACGTGTGCAACAACGAAAATACCTTCTCCTCCATATCAAAGCCAGATGCAAGTACTTTGACGCCGTCCATGGCAAGGCAACAAGTGAAGCCCTGTTTAGGCAGAGACCTTCCTCCTTTGGCACACGAAAGAACACATCTAGGACCTGTTCGATAATAACGAAGAAACAAAAGTCACGAACAACACCAATTTCAATTTCAACTACAGAAACCAACACAAAGGCACACTTATAGAGATGTGGAGAAAATATTAGGTGGTTTTGTACCACATGGTCCGAACTAATGCTTATAACTCATTTAAATTTTTAAAATTTACAAAAAGGAAAGGAATTAATAACACTTGATTATGTGCCACGTGAAGATTAACAAATACTATGGTAGAATTTCTCTTATACCACTACTGAAACCTAAAACTGGAATTGTCTAACACATACAATAGAATCAAGACAGATTCAATCAACAATAGAACGCAAATTCAAACACATAATCGTTATCGCAAAGCAGAAACGGAAAATTACCGAGCAATTTGCAGCCCTTGGATTTGAGGTCATCGAACTTCTCCTGCGAAACAAAAAGAGGAATCAGAAAAAAAAAAAAAAAAAAGAGGGCGAAAAAACGAGAGCGGGAGTGAGGAACTGATTACGTGTTTGCTGGAAGCAATGATGTGGTAATCGTTGGGGCCGTTACGGGAGGGGTCGCAGCAGAGGTGGAGTTGGGCGCCGTTATCTTTGACGGCGTCGTGCAGCGCGTCGAAGACTTCTGGCGGCACGAGGTTTCGCGACATGAACACGTTCACGCCTTGGAATGCCTTCGTCTTCGACATCTTCGTCGACTTCGCCTTCGTATTCAGCATCTTCGTCGTCTTCGCCTTCGTCTTAGATTATGGATTCTGAGTCTAACTAAGCTTTGGAAGTTGTTGTTACCATTGGAAAATAAGTAAGGTTGAAATTGAGTGGAAGTGAAAAAACTAAGAGAAAGAGGAAGAAGAAGAAGAAGAAGAAGAAGAAAAAGTTGTTAGGGTGAGAAATTTGATTTGTGGAATGAGTTTAGAGGGAGAAGAATGGGAAAGTGTGAGGAGATAAAAACGCGGGAAAGTGAATTCAGACTGGATTAGTGATGTGCTTCCATTCCATAGAGAAAAGTGTCTGTAAGTGACTTGACGGGCTTCTTTTGCTTTTAGAAATAATTTGAAGTTGTTTCCCAAATATTCATAGAGGAAAAAGAAGCATTAACATCCCTCCTTTATCAAACATAATAATCTTAAAATAATAATATTTTTTTAATTAATAGAAAAAAATAAAATAAAATAGATAGATAATAATATTTGTTTTTTAATAATTATTAGGAGGATATTTGGTAATTAATGACTGTCTGAATATCATAACTCAATCGTAAATGTAGAAGAGAGAAATTTCAATAAAATAATGAAAAAAGCATATAAAAATAGTTTAAAAATAAATCATTTTCTAATAATTACTTTTTTTAACACGAAAAATTAAACAGTGATATAATGATATTAAAAAGATGTGATTATTAACCTAATTAAAACACTTATCATGGTCAGATGGTTGGACATATTTGATTAGTGTAATCTTTAAAAAAATATTAAATATATTATATGTTATATATTATAACATAATTTAACAATTTTAAAATATCTATCATAATAAAATATTAAAATAATAAATAAAGTTGAATACAATTTAATTTTACAATTCAAATTTTTTTAAAAATATTATAGAATAAATTATATTTTAAATAATAACTCAAGTTCGTAAAATAAATAATAGAAATTTATAAACAATTTCAAATAATATATATTTTTAAAAATTATAAAAGAAACATTACTTTTTTGTCAGCCCGACGAGTCACCGATTTTTTGTAAGACTCGGTGGAATTAACCCAGGTCATAGGGGGACGAATTCATACAAGTGATTATTTTTTCTTCAAAAATGTATTTAGTAACTTCAAAGTAAAGATGCGTGAGAATTTTATCTTTTTTTATGTTACTGTCTAAGTATAATTTGTTAAAAATGTATTAATTTTATAATAATTAAATAGCAATAATATTTTTTTATTGATATGTGGTATAAAATTTATTAAAATGTATTCAATTTTTTATTTTTATAGACTATTGATATTTTAGTAAGTACATTATGCATCATAGATATTATTTTCTATAATTTATCATAAATAAATTATTTTAAATAAAAATGACATAGTTAAAATTTATAGAAAAATTAATATATAAACATTATACATTTAATTCATGATAAATAATCAATACTATGATATGAAAATATCTTTTCATATTTCTTTATACTCATTCATTTTTCAAATTTATTTATCTTTTATATATATTCCTCCATTCATGTTCTCTCATATAAGAAGAACATTTTAATAGATTAATTTACATTTTTAATATTAACATCATTAAAGGAAGTGCCTTTAAGTGTTTTTATTGCATTACAGTAGTTTAAATTAATTAATTGTGAGACCATGTAAAAGTTAAAGTAACTTTAAGCCGAACTAACATATTAAAACACGATTTTAATTCATTAAAAGTTATTTTCACTTTTAAAATTTTTGGAAGAACGTTTAAATTTATTAAACAGTTTCTTTACTATTATAAACATTATGCCCCCATTTTCCATCTAAAAGAGCAATTCAAATTTATTCCTCTACGTATTCTTTGCATGTTCTACATCAATAGACTCATTTAGACAAGAATAACCACAAAACTACAACTCTAAAGATAAAATGAAACATCAAATTAACTTTAAACCCAACAAATCAGGGTGGTTACAAGTATAGGATGTTTTAATTTCTAACCTTTCAACCAACTAGGATGTCCCATATGACAAAATTGAAACTTGAAAATCCCTCCTCAAATAGAAATTGAATAGTTAAGTTGAAACATTGCATGAGGAGTGATGCTGAAAGACTGACCTCAATTATTTACTTAAACAACAGGGTTACTACATCTATCAAGCTAATGTTGTTAAAGAAATCAGGAGATGACCAACACCTTGAACTTGTTTTGTTTGTTACGTGTTTTAAAATCTTCAATTATTTCGACCCTTATATAATATTTTTATGGCTCTGAATGAAAATGTGTTATACAGATAATCGATTTGTCAAAATTTATGCTTTGATGTAAATTAAAATGTTATTGATCCTATGTCAACCCGGGTAGGAATTAAAACTCTTAATCTAAGAAATCTTTCAAAAATAATTTGTCATTAAACAACTCCGATTTGGTCTACATTTACATATCAAATTACAATTTACTAAAAAAATGCTGCAATGAAAAAAAAAACATAGGATTTATCCATATGGTTAAACTGTCGATAGAAATGATAAAATGTATGTAATCCTACAAGTACTTGCAAAAATATCCACAAACAGGTAAGATAAATACTCACTTTTTTGAGAATAAGATAAAATTGGTCTGTCAATTTTAATAGAAATGAGCATACATGTTCTATAATACACAAAGGCCTATCACAAATTTTACAAACTTATATACAACCACATCACTCTTCTATTCCACTTCACCCTTCCACTAATCAAAATATGTTCATATTTAAAAAAATTCGCTTGAGGACTTATCTTTTGTTCGGATAGATGGAAATTTTACAATTTTTAGAAAATTAAAATACATAAATTTTAATAACTCTCATATATAATAATTTTTTTAAATATTTTATTTTAATAAGACAAATCAATTTTTATTTTATTTTAATCTTATTTCAATAGACTATTTATTAAATATAAAACTTACCACAACATAGTAAGTGATTATTGCAAACATAGTAGAAAATAACCACTACAAAACTTAACCAAAAAAATCTAATTAACATTTTAAAAATAACCCCACCAACATTGATAAAAAACAAAAGTCAATCGAAAATAAATACGACATACATTAATATATAAATAATTTTAGTGATATTAATTGAAAAATATTTTTTATTAACATTGACAAAATAATCTTGACTTATTTCACCCAAAATATTCTCATTGATACTAATAAAAAAAAAGTTGTTAAACTCAAATATTCTACCAATGTAGGTCATGGAACTACCGCTTTATATTAATTAAACAATAATCTAGGAAAGAAATCTCAACCAAAAAATGACATTCTACTATCATCAATTGAAAAAATAACAAAAACCAATGTCATCAAATAACTTGGTCAATAGAAACCAAAAAGTAATTATGATAATTTTATTTAAATTAACAAACTTTATAAAAAAAAGTAAAAAAATTATGTTAAAACAACATCCCAACTAAAACCAAACAAAAAATACAGATTTGAAAAATAAATATATGAAAATGTTACTTAAATTATTATCATAAATCACTTAAATTTTAATTTCTTTCAAAATTTACTATCAAAATAATATATTTTATTATAAATAAGTTTAAATTCTCTATTAACAAAGATGTTAATGTATTGACAATTTACAGTGCACGATGAAAATATGACCTTTTTGAAGTTTTAGAGAAGAAATTTTTTAAAGGACCTTAATGCATAGAACTTTGGAAGACCATATTATGACCGACTATCACGTTTGTTCAACACGAACCAAATCATTGGACGGTCACTGCAGAAGCAGCACTACCTGCGAGAAGAATAGTGAGACAGCATTGAGTTGCCAATATGGCTCAACAACCAAAATATCTACCTATATATCAAGGAACCTGGCAAAGAAATTAATTACAAATGGTAACAGTAAATAGGATATTAACTGATTATTGGAGGAGGATTGCGCCAAAAATATATAAGGGAAAAACTGTTATGCAGACAATCCGTTGAGAAAACATCCTAGTTGATATCATGTTAGCTTGACTGCTCAAGGCCATGGAGAGAACTTGGCTCAAGGTTTGATTTGGGGACAAGACCTGCAGACTGCTTTAGGGACCGAGGCTTTTCCCCTCCTTGCGAAAAAGCCGCCATCTTATCAGGGCGAAAATGAGTTCCTTCTAAACTCTGTTCAGCCTTTCTCTTTACTTTTTTCTTTATTAAAACACCCGCTGCACCCCTCACATCATCAAGAGAACCACTAGAACTTCCCTTTGGTTTTTCTTGTTTTGGGCCATTCACAGAAGGATTGAAAACCCGTGGAGCGGCACCTGTATTAGAAACTGCCCTGTTTACTGAAGCATGATTAAGACTACTGGAGTCTGTAGCTAATCTCTCTCTCATGGCTTGTTGTGAAGATATTGGATTAGCATCAAATTGAACATTCTCGTCTTGTCGATATTCAAATAACTTTTTCTTCTTAATTTTCTCCCTATCCTAACAATATGACCAACCAGTGAGATAGAAATAATCTAAAAACATCATCCTCACAAAATATCAAATTGCGATTGTCATCTGTACATACAAAGAACAGATAACATTCATAGCATTTAAACCATGAAAATCATCTCACATTCTTTACTCTTGTTCTTGTTGAAAACACAGCCATGTCTGACTAAGAATCAATAAATTGAGAAATATGAATTTCCATTGTTGGTCATGGTAAACATTTGACGCAATCCAGGATATAAAAGTTCAATAACTTGATATTTTAACAATACTTTCAGCGGTTCATAATTCGTAGTTATCTATTTATAACCATAATTATGGTAAAGATAAGAAGAAAAATCGAAAGACTACTGTTCCAATATAGTTAAGCTACAAAAGGTATCTGCAGACTAGACGGTAAATTATGGTCATGAAAAAAACTCTTCTCTTAAATTTTCAAAACTGAGCATAAGGAAAAGGTTCTTCATTTCTACAGACACTTTAGAATATTACTACACAATGTTAGA